TCACATGCCAGCTAGTGTGTGAATACTGTCACCTACAAAGGGCTCAGTGTGACAATGCCACAGGGATCTCTGGTGGTGGTTGATGGGTCACACAGCAACCCAAGCCTATGTGTGCTGGAGTCACTGCTGACTGAAAGTGTCCCAGATGTTCTTTGCCATGGCAGGGAGTTCGGAAAAGGGCTCATCTGAGTCTTCCCAGAATCTCTAGGTTCTGGACCTGTCCCAGCTGAGCCAGCCTTCCGGTCAGAGGTCTAACCACCCAGCACACCAAGCAGAAATTCTTCCCACAACAAGCACTTGGCTACTGGTGTGTCCACATACTTCTAGGAATGGCATCCCCCCAGCCTACAGTGGTCAGTTCCTAATCTTCCTTGGTCATTTTGTTAAAAAGCTTGATTTTGAAAGGCCTGGAAGACTTTGGCAGGTATTTGCAGTGCCCCCTCTTGGGGGACAGTGAAACACAGGGAAGTAGATCCGGGCTTGGCTTCTGTATTGGCTTCTGCAGGGTATTTCCTACCTTTTTTTCCAAGGAAACAAAAAGCGCACGTGTGTGCGTGTGTGTGCGTGTGCGTGTGCATGTGTGTGTGTGTGTGTGTGTGTGTGTGTGTGTGTGTGTGTTCACTACCTTGGGTGTTATTGCTTGTGTGCCATCCACCTTTGTTTTTGTTTTGTTTAGACAGGGTCTCTTGCTGGCCTGGGACTTGCCAAATGGACTAGACCAGCTGGCCAGTGAGCCTCGAGAATCTGCCTGTCCCAGTGCTAGCATTACAAACACACACTGCCTTGCAGAGCTCTTTAAAAACATAGATTCTGGGGCTCAAACAGAGTCCTGCAGTTTGTCATGCTCGAAGAGCAAGTGCTTTATTGACTAAGACAGCTCCCCAGCCCCAAAATAACATTTTTCACTCTTGAACCCAATTGGCCTCCTTAACATTTCTACCAATAATAGGAATCCATGAATGCGCAGTGTCCTTCAAATACCTGGTATCAGGAGCTGGTTTTCGACCAAATCTTCTCCAGGCCAAGCTGCTCCTCATGTAAGCCCTTTCCACCAGGCTTCCCTTCTGTGTGTCAGAGAATAAGACTCCACTGGCTTTGCACTGGGAAGGGGCTTGTCTTTCCCTGAGCGAGGCGTTACTACCTGATCATTAATGAAGCCAAGATGTCCTTTCCCCAGGGTGTGTGTGTGTGTGTGTGTGTGTGTGTGTGTGTGTGTTTACACAGACAGGAGAGAGTGAATTACACTACCCATTCACTTAAGCCCTGTTTTTCTTATCTTGCTAAAGGCATCAACTTTGATTACGGAGGTGAAAGGCATTAAAAGCTCCACCCCAAAGGCTTTACCTCCCAAGGCTTATTCAGTTTAGATACCATCCAGACATTGGGCCCATAGATCAGTACAGCTGGGCCTGAATCTCAGCTTGGCCTCTTACAGGACTGTGACTTGGAGGGAATGACCCGATTTTTCTTTTCTGTGGAGCAAAACATCGCGCGAATCTCAGAATGAATTTCCATGAGCATTACATGCAAGACTCAGGCGAAACACATGCATGCTGTTTATTTAATTATTCCCCTAACCCCTTTGTTAAAAAGGGGGGAGGGGAGTTACTGAAATGAGGTTAATTCATGGTACTTCTTCTGAAAAGCGAAGGCGTCAAACCAAATTACTGTTGGTGGAGGTTGCTCCATGTAATCCCCCCCACATCTATGTTTGTGTAAATGCAATGGTTTTTAATAATTTATTTATTTGTGTGCATGTCAAGGTCTGAGGACAACTAGCAGGAACCAGTTCTCCCCTTCCACCTTGTCAGTCCTAAGGATTGAATGCAGGGTTTTGAGACTGGCAACAATTATCCTTACCCACTGGGCTGTCTTGCAAGCTCGGTAAACAATGATTATGCTGCTCAAAAAGCTTCCTTGGCACCACCTTGTGCCGCTCTCCTACAGCTCAACATACCCACTGTTACTCCTATTATGGTTTCTATGTATGTTTGTTTGAAACAGGGTTTCTCTGTGTAGCCTTGGCTATCCCGGACTCACTTTGTAGACCAGGCTAGCCTCAGACTCAGAGATCTGCCTCCTGAGTGCTGGGATTCAAGGTGTGTGCCACCACTGCCAGGCTTATTACTCCTATTTTGACGGTGGAGAATGGAGATTCAGGCAACCCAAGAAACCCAGAAGTAGGAAATAACAGATCTGGGACTCACATCCCTCTGCCTCTCAAGGCCCATCCCAGCACTGTTGTTCCATTCTCTAAGGTAGCCTCCAAGTCAGGCTCAACTCCGGCACCAGGGACAGCAGAAGCCTAGAGTGTGTCTTCCTTCATGGTGCAGCTTCTGAGGGAAGGGAAACTCTGCATCTGCCTATTGCAGAGCTCTGGAGGTGTCACTGTGTGTCCCAGCTACATCCCCTTAGGTCCCCTCTGGATGCTCCTGGCATCCAATACTCATGTGCTCTTTGTTAGGTTCTTAACCCCATAAATATGGTTTCATGTTTATGTTAAAAACAAAACAAAACAAAAAACTCCAGCTAAACGAAAAAACAGCCATTCTGGATGTGGGCCCTGATGCGTAATGTCATTAGGGAGCCAGCAGTACATCCCATCCCATTATCGCCTGGCCCAGCTTCTCCAAGCAGCCTGGCTGCAAATGGCTTTCTTCTGGGGGGTGCGGGGAGGGCACAGCCCTATCTGCCCTCCAGTTGGAGGAGAGATTTTATCTTTAATTGACAACTGGCCGCCTGCCACCACCCTGCCTCTGCTGCTGGCCCAGGCTCATGGCTGGTTTTTCATGCCACTTCAGGAATAGGCTTCCCCTTGTTTCTTCCTTCCCCAGAGCCCTGCGGTCCTCACCCTGCCATTCTGTACTGCCCTAGACAGCTCTTGTCCTTTCCTGAGCGTGTTTGAACATGAAGAAATCTTCAGAAAAAAAAAAAAAAAGCCTGAGCAGAAGGCAAAAGTGAGGAGGAAGCTAGCATTTATTGTAGAACTCCTGTCTCCTGCATGCTGTGTGCAGACACCTGACCTGGGCCAGGCTCATACGCCATCTTTTGGATACACCATCATTTTGCAGCAACAAAAACAAATTTGAGGAGTTGCCCCCGAGTTATCTAGCAAGTAAGTGGCAGATCAAGACTAAACAGGGGCTCCTATGACTTTTTCTGCTTAGACAGAGTGAAGAGTAAGATGAAAAAGCAACTAGACCTGGCTATGTGATTTGTAGAGCCCAGTACAAATGAAACCACAGATCTTGTCAAAAGATTAGAAACTCTACCACGATGATAGGTGAGCCCTAAACCCAGCATGGGGGCTCCTCTGATTGGCTGAAGGCCTGTGCATCCATAAAGCCAGCCTTTCTTATGCTCCTATGTGGGAGTGAAAGATATAGTGAGAGTCACCAGTATACCAGAATTTTCCACTTCCCTAGCCCATGTACCCAAAGCGTCTTTATTCTCCATCCCTAAGAGGCTCTTGGTTGTACCACCAGTCCTGTGTTGGCCCCAGTCCACAGGCCATCATGCAGTCGTTGCAATGGCCTCCCGAGGGCCTTGGCCCACTTAGACTAATGCAGCTGCAGGGACAAGGAGGCCCCTGTACAAACAAGCAGTGGACATCCAGTGCACACAGTGGACATCCCTACACAAGGAAGACTTAGTCCATGCCATGGTGGCTCCAGGTGGCAGTAGCAGGTAATCTGCACACTTCCCAGCAGCTCGGGGTTTTAGGGTTATGTTCTTTGCTGCCTTGGGCAGGTCACTTTTGAGTATTTACTGCTAGCTGTTAAATGCAGGAGCTGAGCCACAGGGAGAGTCCTGGCGGGGACTCAGTTAGGCTCAGGTGTGCTCGCATTCCGTAGACTCAGGTGGTAGCTTGGTTGGAACTCAGGGAGGTGTCCTCTCTCTCCCCCCCCCCCGAACCCCAGATCCACAGTCAGAAAAGAGAGGCGAGGCAGATGCTCGCACAGGAGCAGTACGACACTCAGATGTTTTTATTGGTGCTTGGGCACAGCATGACAGTTGAGGGCATGCAGACAGGGCACAGTGGGCCCAGCCTAAGCATGCCTCAGACACACACAAGGGGACAGTTTTAGAAAAGGACTGACCAATACCAAGGCGGGGTGGGATGGGGAGCAGGAAGGGCCGAGGGAGGGGCAGAGGCCAAGGCTGAAGGGATCACCTGGCCTCTGCTATTGCACAAGTACAGTATTGCAACTGGTTTCCTCTCGCCCAAGGTGTCCCCTTCTCAGACCCCTGAGCCCAGTGGGCAAACAGATCCCCTTCCATCTGCCCAGCAGCATCTTTGAAAACAAATGGACAAAGGAGACACACACCAAAGAAATTAAACTCCCCTCTGTCAAGGACACAGAAGGAGTGCTGGAAGGAGTGACAGAGGGCTGCAGAAGAACCCCTGAAAGTGACCCCACAAATCGGGGTGTGGGGTGGGAGGTAGAACCCCAATCTGGGGTGGGGTTGGGCTAGTGAAGTGATGACCCTGGAGGGCAATCTTGCCTTCAGCAGACTTCAAAAAGACCACCTGCTGGCAGGGGAAACACCCCCAAGGGAGAGCAGCCTGGGACCACCCAACGGAGGGGCAGGTCCCAGGTGCACTTTTCCTGGGACATTTCATACAACAAGGTCAGAAGAAACAATCCGTGAAGGAAGAGGGTAGGGGAAACAGGGTGGGAAGAGAGGACTGGGGAGACACAGCCTAACGATGAAGACAGACCACCAGTAGAGTACGCGCACTACACACAAGAGTATATAGTATGTATGAATATAGATACTATATGTGCATATATGTCTCTTCAATGTACAGTAGAACAGAGTGTCAGACCCAGATGGCTCTGGGCCCCGAGAGTCACGTGAGAGGTTTTTTTTTTTTTTTCCACCAGTTCTGTGCAAACAAGGATTTCTGAGTCTTTCCCAGCAAAAGATTCGTGCCTGGGTTCCAGAGTTTCCCTAAGGCTCTGGCTTTTTGTCTGTCTGCCTGTCTTTCTCACGTTGCTGCCGCTTTAAGAGAGGGTGAGGACTTCAGCGTGGGCATAGTTGGACGAGAGGGCGTCTTGGCAGGTCTCTGTGTTTAAAGAGCACAGGTGTGAGACACTGGGACGCACGCTTTCGGTTCAACATTGCCTTCTGGGGGGTGTAAAGAGTTCAGCAAAAGAAAGGGAGAAACAAAGAATGAGATGTTAGAAGGAAGCCAGCCAGCTGCTGACCCACAGGCTGTGGGCTAAGGAACAGCCAAGAGCAGAGCTGGAAGGCATGGGGAACCCAGGGCCAAGAGGCAAGGAAGAGCTGGGGTGATTCAGGAGTGGGGTGAGCCCTTTATCTCTCCTCTGCCAACCCACCTTCAGGCAGAAGAGACCCAGGTAACGGTGAAGCTTGGGTAACCGTTTCCAACACCTACAACCTTCTCAAGTCTTCAGAGTTCTAATGCAGCAGGGTGAGGAACCATGGCAAACCCCATAGAGCCTAGCAGGGAGGTAGTGGGGAAAATTCCTGATGTGGACTATGGCTCATGGCCTGTCACTCCAGCTGTTCCCTACCCAATTTGTGCTCTACCCCAAACAGCTCCATCTGCCCTCACCTCCATGGACAATTCCACTATCCCAAGGATCCAGTGAAGCTGTCCTTAGAATATGGAGCCATGTCACACCCAGCCACTGACCTCAAAATGAAAGGTAGAGTCCTGAGGCATTGTGGGTGGTGGTGGAGGGCACACAGCCTCAGAAAAGCAGGCTGGCACAGAGCATCTTACTAAGAAACCCAAGCCCCCAGAAAATCCACAGCCTCAGCTTCTGAGGCTTGGGTCTTTTTTCCTATTTCCAAGTGGCAGTACTGGCTAAACAGCTAGGGAGACAGGGCTAACAGTGTGGCAGAAGTTTCCGCCTCCCACATTGATTACTATAGTTATTAGGTTTGTGGTTAAAGGTAGGAACATCGTTTGGCATTCAAATCTCACAGCTTCTGCTATGGGGTTCCCTGACATGTTAAAATCTTTTATTTTTCTTTGATATAAATATGTTCACGTCTCAGAATGACCTGTTGCCATCTCCTGAAGACTGTGGCCCCAATGGCCCCCTTAAACACTACCCCTTATCTTTCTAGTGTTCTGGGCCTCCGAGTACTCTCCCTGAGAAAACCACAAGAGTGTGAGACTCTTCAGAGTGCCATTTCTGAGGATAGGACAGAGCTACCCTTTGTCCTGTATTCCTAACATCGATCTGTCTGTGTATATTCAGAAATACTCAGCCATTGGTCCCTACTCACAAGGAAAAGGGGAGTGGCCTCCAGCCACTAGATCCTAAGCCACCAGATCCCCTATAAGCCACTAGATCCTAAGATGAGGTGGGGAGGCTTTTGTTAATGGTTTCTACACTCTCCCCTTGTGTGGTCCTCTGAGAGTTGGGGAGAGTCTTTTTAGGAGTCTTATGCTGGAATTTAACCGACACAACTCACCAGAGTTTGGGCAGGAGCTTCCGAGGGAGACTGACCAGAGCCTTGCTCTCTTAGATGCTTTGTGAAGGGCAGTCCTGGTGGCCATAGGTGCTTCCTGGAGCTCTGGCCAGAACTCAGCAGCCCCTCTAATTCCTGTTGGCCTAGCTGTAGCTGAACAGCATCCTTCCCACTGGTGGCACCTCACAGTCACCCCTCTTAGAAAACGGCTGTGAAGCTAACTCTAGGGTTGTCAGTAGTCCTGGCACAGACTGGAAGGTAAGCCTAGTAGTTGGTTCCTGGGCTGCCTGCTTCCTCTTTAAGAAGGGGCCTGCCCCCAGCTACAGGGCCAAGTTTCTAAAAGCCAAAGCAATAGGACCATTCCCAAGTCCCATCCAAGGAAAAGCTAACTCTGCCTTTAGAGTCTGGATGGGAGCGACTTTCTCCTAGAGAAGGATATCCGAGGCCTGCATAGGCCTGAGACCTGTATAGTCAACTAACTGCCCTCAGGGCAGAGGCTCTGTAAATGATAGATTCATTCTTTCCCAGAACTCTGGGCAAACCCAAAAGTCCTAAGGTAGCTGAGGGTAGATAACCCACCTATTTCTTCCACTCACTGGGGCCTGTTGAGCAAGGGGATTGGAGCAGGGTGGGGGTGGGGGTTGTTTAGGAGCCCATCCCTCCAACAAAGCACTAGGGGCTTCAGCCTGGCAGATGCACTGTGTCGCCCAGGGACATCTGTGGCCCCCACAGGGGTGCTGTGAGCATGCCCATCCCCGTAGGAGGGAAGAGGGGAGGAGGCGGTGGGTGCCGTGGAAACTTGGGCTCCTGACAACTTGAGGGCTGCCACAGAAATAGCTACCTTGGCTCTCCGAACCAGAACGGCAAGTCAGAGAAAAATAGCTGTGGTACCCGTGCTAAACTGGACACCTGGCTCATCATGTCTCTGTCAGACCACAGTCTCCTGGTGCCAGGAGCCCTGCTGGATGGGGCTGAACCTACCACGAGGAAGCTGAGTTCAGACTCAGCATCTTACCCTGATGCACAGACTTCCTTATCCCTGCCACCTTTCCGTGTCTCCTCATCTCACCTCTCAGAAGACAGCTCATCCTGAAAGCAAGTAGCTTCAGGTCCTATCTAGAGCACAGATCAGCTGGAGTGTTTCAGGGCCTGCTCTAACAGACCTTTTCAGAGGGCCATCTAGTCTTTGCTCAGTGCTCGTCACATCCTTTGCACTCCGAGACCCCTGGAAACAATCTTGTATTTATGCCTGGGCCACCTTTTGAGTCCCTTGGTCCTAGCCTCCTGCCAGGTCCCTAAAGCGATCTCACCAGATCTCTTGATTACCCTGTAGGGAGCAAATATGGACCTTCCTTAGTCACTCCCTTTTCAAAGTTGCATAATCTGACTCTAAAATTGCCAGGCACGTGGCTCAGCTGCTGTCAGGTCAATTCCCATCAGGTGAAACAGGAAATGGCATGGCTGAGGCTTTTGTTCTTTAGCCCTGGGCTGAGGAAGGGGCTTCTTAGGAGCAGGTGGGGCTGGTGGCAGGTGTGGGTAGGATAGCTTCTGTCTCCTTACTTCCCCTCAGCCGTCCCTGAGCAAGGTGTACCCCTCCTCACCCAATGACTCACAAACCTGTTGTGCCCCCAGGCTCGTTAGGTAAATGAATACACTTAATTATAGAAATTAGATGAGTCTCCGGTTCTGGCAGGAATACAGAGCAGAGGCTGGGTGGGAGTGGCAGGTGACTCAGAGGCAGGGCTGGGAATCTGAGGGAGCGGGAGAGGGAGCAAACTGTCGCGGAAGCAGAGGAAGCAGTATGGAGAGAGATGCCGCAGCGCGGGGCACAGATGGGCTGCTGGGTGGGCCGCTGGGTGTTACCCGATGAATCTGGGCACAGGCCCCAGGGAGAAGGGCCTCCCAGCACCTAGACACCCTGCCCAGGGCTTGCACCAAGCCCGGGGCCTGGATTCTAGGAGCTCCCACCTGCACCCCATGTCACAGCTGGAAAACACAAGGTCCTGCTCCCAGGGCAGCTCTAGCTACAGGTGCTGCTGTTCCAAGGAGTCAGATGCTCTTTATAGCAGCAGAGATGCCCTGTGAGACAGCCTTTACCTGCTGATCTTGGTATGGGTTGGCTAGACAGACAGATAGACAGACAGACAAGCTTTTTGGTTACTGGGTAAAGACCATAAAGAATGCAAATGAAATTTCTGTGATTAAAATACAAATATAAGTATGACTCAAAGGCAAAGCTTAGTACTTTGAGATACTCAATGTACCACACCCTGGTTTGGAGGATCCTGAGCTGCAGGCAAAACCCAGAGACCCAGGTCCTGAGTGTACCAGCCCCTGTGGTTTAGGAGACTGGATATGAGAAAGGAGCCCTGTAAAAATCTCCCGCTTGCACCCAGGTTCCATGGCTGGACTTTTGGAGGAGCCAGGTACTGTGTAGAGCAGGCTCAGAGACTCGAATTCTCCATCCTGACTGAAGTTCCCTTCTGTTGTTCTCTCAGACCTCAGGAGGGAGAGGGGCTAGGGTGGCATGTAAAAATGCCTGCTTGGATGTGTGTCAGTGTCAGAGCTGAGGAAGGCTGTGGGTGTAGCTAAGAACCTGAGTGGCCCGGTGGGGGGCTGGTGAGAGGGTGGAAGGGGTGCGAGAGCAGGAGCTTTCTCGGAGGGTAGGGCGAGCTGTACCGCGATGCCAGTGGAGACAGCCCCAGACTGGTTCCAGCTGCTCCAGCTATGTTGTTTAGACTCCGGGACTTTTCACAGCCTTGGTGAAGAAAAGGCACATGGGTCAAAGGGGGGCATCTCCTCACCAAGGGAGCTCCATGGAGTCCATGCTACTTCAAGAGACTCTGTGGGGTAGGTGACCTGAGACTGGGGTGAAGGGAGTGGCTCCCTGACGCTCCCTGTCATAGACTCCTGGGCTCCTGAGGGCAGACCATATGACCTGTGTCCTGTCCTGTTCTCAGGTCTCTATTCCCCTCTAGCTCTGTCCAGCTTCCCACAGCTTCCAGCAAGTACCTTCCCCGGTGAACACCTGTATCACAGGCTCTCCTGGCTCATTGGGAACTACTCCTTAGTGATGGGGTCAGTTTGATGGCTGGAAGAGGCCGGGGCTCACCGCTTCCTTGTCGTGGGTCTAGATGAGTGCAGATGGGTGTGGCTTGGGGAAAGTTGTTAGGTGCTCACTGGGAGTTTGGTGATATTAATTGCCACACTTGCTTAGCAGGCCCTGTTTCCCAGCAACCCACCTGTTCCCTCTGGAAGGTCACTCTAATTGGCTGAGCTACATGCTTGTTGCCAAGAAGCAGTGTGGAGGCATCTTGGAAATAGAGCAGATGGGCCCCAAAGGCACCCCAGGGAGGCAAAGTGGAGGGATGCAGGCTCTTCTGCATGGTGCCTGTACACGTTGGAGCATCTGCCCTCGGGACTCTCCTAACTTGCACTCTCATGGTCTCTTCCACAACGCTACTCGCACCAAGCACCTCACAGCACAAGAAGGGAGGCTGGGGTGCTCATCCCTCAGCTCTGTGTTCTGAAGTCCTCCACTGGAGTGGGGGATACATTTTACACTGTTGTTTAGCAGGCTGCAGCCCGAGCGAGGCTCTTTAGGTGTAAAAGAGGATGCAGTGGCATTCCTGCATTCTTGAGGTACAAGGGAGAAAGGCACAAGGTACAAGGGAGTCTGGAGCACAGGAGTGACAGGAGAGCATATGAGCTCTGAGTATTCTCTGCCTATAGCCATTTGGCTGGGGCCTCTGGGCCATCTCCTTCCAGGTGCCAGTCTGCTGCTCCCGTGGCTGTTACCCAGTAAGACATGTGCTCAGCAAAGCTGGATACCCACCTTTCAGAGCTTATCAAATCTGGATGCCTAGAAATCACATGGGAAAGTGCCCCAGGGGGTCTGCCTGGACTGGGTAGCTAGGAGCCATCTTTAGGGTTCAGAGGCATCAGAGGCTATTCCCGTAGCAACCACTACCCTTGTCAGACTCATAACCAGTTTCAGTGTGGGACTTGGGACTGAAGAGTGGAAAACCTCACTCGTTAAGAAGTGGCCAGAGAGAGAACTTGGGGGTGGTGTTTGTTTAGGAAGAATCACAGCTTCTCCTGGAAATAGGGTGTTAGGGGAGGTGCTGACACAGGACAGGCAAGGTCACGGGAGAGCAGAAGACAGGGAGGACAAGGTTCTAATCTTGAGCCTTCTAGTGCCCAGCCATCATTGGCCCCTCTCACCCTAATGGTTTCTGCTTTCCTCTCTCCTTTAAGGCAAAAATCCCTAGCTGCACAGCTCAGCTTCAGCTCTGTCCCTGCCGTGTGCTGGGAGCCTGGTGATAGAATTCCAGCCTCCCTTGACAGGTAGGAAGGGGCTGCTCTATTAACTTTCAGATCATTCCTCTGAGAGGCCTACTCTTCCTGCTCACCCATTGCTAGCCACCCCTGGCTCTTTCCCATGACCATCATACCCCAGCAATTGGCAGATATGGGTCCGTCCATCTTGGGATCCAGGCCCCCGGTGAAGAACTGGAGAGACAGGAAGGCTCTCTGAAGACCTGGGACCTGGAATCCCTGAGTCTGTTTCTTTGGGGAAGCTTTGGCAGTGTTTAGGAGGCCTAGGGAAGCTGGCTGGGTATGACCCTGTGGGCTAGGCCTAAAGGCAGCTGCAAGATCAGAGTAGGGGAGATGAAAGAGTGTCCTCTAATATGTCTAGAACTGCTCTCTTGGGTGGGTACCTTGGAGGGAGACGCTTCATAGACTCATAGTGAATGCTAGAGGCCTTTCTAATGCAAAGGCTGGTAACTTAGGATACCCATTCTAAAAGCGAGGACGCACCCAAGGCAGAGGAGATGGTGGCCATGGGCTCAGGGGAGGAGGAGACCTCAAGCTCTGTGGGAAGGGCTGGGGAGACTCGGTTCTGTGGGGACTCCCCACCTGCCCAGCCCAGGGAGCCATACCTTTTCGGACACTGCCATCAGCGCAGGCATAGTCCCCAGCACTGAGCAGGAAGCAGGCAGCTGCCTTCTTGTTTCTGTCTCTTGTGCCTGAGCGTCTCAGGGCCCGACGCTCCTCAGGGGTGGGGGCCGAGGCCAGGGGCTGGGTGAGGCCAGCTCCTTCCTCATCAGACAGCACCGCATTAGCATCACCATTCTGCTTAGAGTCTGGAGGGGACAGAGAGAAAGGAAGCTAAGATGATTGCTGGGGCCTTCCTAAAGGAGTAGCTACCTGGGGCCTTCTCAGATCCCAGGTCCAGGAAGCAAAGGTAGGCTAGCTGTGCTTGGTCTGAAGGCTTTTCTCTCAGTTTTGGCCTAGCGCCTCCCCTGGGGGCTAGAGCACAGCACAGACACCCTACAGCAGCAGTAATTCCCAAATGGGCTTGTGAGGCTGTCCCAGGGGATCATCCCCGGCAGACACAGATTCTCATTTCCCCTCGGGTCTGGCTCAGGTAGGCTCTTGATGAATCTGCATTCCTCAGGGAACACCTGGATAGCAGGGATAATGGGTGGTGGCCAGACATACTCAGTAGTGTCTCTGGCTTTCTCCCTGCACCACTAACGGCTGTTATTCTGTTCCTCGGTACCCAGGCCATGCTGAAGAGCTTGGCATAGGGCTCTCTTTTGTCTGGGAAGACAGAGGGAAGAAGCTCTATTTCAACTCTCCCCTGTGAGAGAGCGACACAGCTACTACGGTCCCTGATTGTATGTGGTGGGGTCACCTGGCCTGAAGCCAGTGGCTCTGGCATTGGCCATTCAAGACCTCAGAGTGGCCAGTCAAGCAGGATAAGGGCCTCAGAGTGCTGTGCACATCTAGGGGCTACCTAAGGTTCTCTGCATTTGGACACGAGGATCCTCTCTGAGTTCTGATTGGACCTCAGACCACATCTTAGATTCCTAACAGGATCAGGAAGGGGCACTGCTGTCATAGGGAACAGAAGGAAGCTTCTCTATTAAGGTCTCTATCAAGGAAGATCTAGACCCCAGTAAATCCCAGAGAGCAACTAGCGCCAGCAGGGTGATGGGGACATACCAAGAGGTCACAGGTAAGTCTCAACTCAGGAACCATGTCTGGAGAACGAGTCCCACTTCTAGGGTTAACCAGGACTGCTGCCTTGGTAGCCTGACACCCAGTCACCCTCCAGACCTGACCTACCACCTGCCCAGTTGAATCTGATAGTGCTTCCCCTGCCTTCTGGCCTCCTCCCCTGTTGCTGGGGACTATGCTGGTTTCCCTTCGTGTTTCCTGAGTGGCCTTTCCATGGAAGGACAGAATTTGATGCCCAGTCTTACTCCTTTCAAGACACAGACACCAGTTCCTTCCACTTTGCCTCTTTTCCAAGACCCTGGACTACTTCTTCCTCGGTTCCCCTCTAGCCATGTCAAACCATGAGCCCAGGACTCACTCCAGCTTTAGCTGAACAGAAGGCAGCCTCCCACTGCTGTTACGTTATCACATCTATTAGGCCAAGAGACAGCAGACGTGATTGTTGGGAAAGGAGTGACTCATGTGTCGATGCACCTTGGAGGAACAGCTGCCCTGCTCTCTGCCTAATCATATCAGCACTGGCATTTGTTCTAGTTTCTCAAAGTGTGCCATGTCCACCTCTCACTTGGGTCTTATCGGAGTAGGGCAGAATATCAGTATGTCCTTCCCATTGATATGCCATGCCCACAGGGGAAGGGACTGGCCTCTTGGAACAAAGCAAGGGAGGACCCAAGAAGGGACTGGAAACCAGTCCTTCTCACACACCCTCATAGCCTGCACTGGCTGTGTAACTCACTCCACAGATGCTGATGTTCCCAACATCACTAAGCCATGGGACACGTCGTTGGCCTTCGTACTTTGCCCTCCCAGGGGCTCATCTTCCACACAGTGAAGCTGCGACCCGATACAGCGCAGACCCAAATTTCAAGTGTGAAGGGAACTCCCTTGACCGCACAGAGGGGGGAAGGGGTCCTCTGCCTACACCCTACTCACCTGCCCGTTTCCTCTCAACCATACCCTCTTCCCGGGCAGGGGGGCTGGTGTCACTGTAGGTGCTGTCCCGGGGTGAAGTCTCCTCAGACTTGCAGTAAATGGGTGACTCAAGCTGGGCTGGCCGTGGTACATGCTTCTTTCGCTTTTTGGGCAGCTTCTGCTTGGCCATAGCCAGGGAGTAGTACATACCAAAGTTGTTGACGATGACAGGCACAGGCATGGCAATGGTTAGCACACCAGCCAGTGCACACAGCGCCCCCACCAGCATTCCTGACCACGTCTTAGGGTACATGTCCCCATAGCCAAGGGTTGTCATGGTGACCACAGCCCACCAGAAGCCAATGGGGATGTTCTTGAAGTCGGTATGGTCGTTGCCCCGTGGGTCAGATGGCCTGGCCCCAATTCGCTCAGCGTAATAGATCATGGTGGCAAAGATGAGCACGCCCAGGGCCAGGAAGATGATAAGCAACAGGAACTCATTGGTGCTGGCCCGGAGCGTGTGGCCCAGGACACGCAGCCCCACAAAGTGGCGTGTGAGCTTGAAGATCCGCAGGATGCGCACAAAACGCACCACACGTAGGAAACCCAGCACATCTCGAGCTGCCTTGGAAGACAGGCCACTCAACCCCACCTCCAGGTAGAAGGGTAAGATGGCCACAAAGTCGATGATGTTGAGCAGGTTCTTGATGAAGTCTAGCGTGTCGGGGCAGCACACAATGCGGACCAGGAACTCCAGGGTGAACCACATCACGCACACGCCCTCGATGTAGGTGAGAATGGGCTCTGTTTCTACCTCCCGCCGGAAGCGCACACTGGTGATATTCCCCACCCGGTGGATCTCCGTCACATTGCGGTCAATGTTGAAGGCCTCGTGGGTCTCCAGGCAGAAGGTGGTAATGGAGACCAGGATGAAGAAGAGAGAGGCAAAGGCTACCACCTGTGGGCCAGGAGAATAGGGGGTAGCCGTCAGGTCAGTGACAGTTGGCCTCATTGGGAACAGTGACCTCCACTAGCCCATTGCTAGTCAAGGGGTAGGATTAACGTAGAGATGGAAGAAGATCTCTATGCATTGATGCTCTAGAGCACTGCTTCTCAACCTGTGGGTCTTGACACAGAGGTCAGATATCAGATATCCTGTGTGTTAGATATTTATTTTTCATTACAGTAGCAAAATCACAGTTGTAGAAATGAAGTGATTCTATGGTTGGGGTCACCACGACATGAGGAAGTGTGTTAAGGGGTCCCTGCGTTAGGAAGATTGAGAACCACTGCTTTAGGGCAATGCTTCCTAAGCTTTGCCCAGCCACTCCGAAGACAGAGGCTGCTTTCCTACAGAAACCACAAATCAGGGCACCATAGCCGCCTGGCCCTGCGTACCACAGCGCTGCCCAATTCATGTTTTAAGCCTCTCTCTCTCTCTCTCTCTCTCTCTCTCTCTCTCTCTCTGCTTTTCTAGACAGGGTTTCTCTGTGTAGCCTTGGCTGTCCTAGACTCACTTTGTAGACCAGGCTGGCCTCAAACTCACAGAGATCTGTCTGCCTCTTCCTCCCAGAGTGCAAGGGTTACAGGGGTGTGGTGTGGAGACAAACTTGTTAAAAAAACAAAAACTGTCCAAGTGTGGTTGACTTGGGAGGTTTAGGGAAGGCTCTGTACTCCCCTTTTCTCACAAGCTCCCAGGTGAAATGCCCACACACCACAGCTGCAATAATCAGGCTCTTATAGTGTGGGGGGGGGCTAAACCAGAAGCCCCAGGTGCATGGAAACAGGTTAGAACTGCAAATCCCAGCACACAAACCCAATGAATGAGAAACTCGGAGGGGACAGAGCCCAACAAGTGCTCTACTAAACTATGCAGTTTCCTAAATGCTGATACACACTCAAGGTAAAGGTCCATCCCTTTAAGGGATGTCCAGAGACAAGGGCTGTAGGGAATAACCTTTTTTCTGCCAACTGTGCCCCCATTAAAATGACCTACCTCCACGACCCCACCTACCACCCAGAGCCACCTTCTGCCTAGGTGGTAAATCCAGGAAAGAAGACAAACATGGGCTATGACAAGAGTTGGGGGGATGGTTCACAGAACAACCAATGTCTTTCTTCCTACAAACTAATGTTAGCCAGGACACTGAGCTCCAAAGTCAAATAATCTGTACTTATAAACGGTGGTATCTGATCCAACCAGCCATGGGGCGCTCAGCTAGAATGATGGCAGCAGCGTTTGGCAGAAGAATGGCTGGCCTCAGTGTCATTATGAATGGGGATGAGATTCGCGTGTAATAACACCAATTACAGAGCCTTCATCTGTTATTCATGCCATGCCATTCAGCACTGTCAAGGCCCTCCACTGCTCCTGCTTGGTGAATGGGGTTCACCTTCTCCCTCGGGTGGAGGACTGAATCTACACGGGGGGGCTGAGGGAAGTCTATGACCACATAATATTTGACAACCCCCTGCCTGTCCCTCCAATTTCTACCTGGCCTTATCTTATCCCCGTGCAGTGAGCACTCAGATCTGCCTGTCGGGGTTTTCCTCCTGGCGTGCCTACACTGAAAGGGAGGAAGAACTGCAGGAGATGAAAAACGAGGGGGAGGGGTATGGTAAACTAGGCAAGAAACCAAATCCCCGGACCTTCTGGGATAGAAGTAAGTCAAGAAAGGAATTTTGAACACAAAATTCACTATCTATTCTCCTCCTCGAACTATTAGGCACCCTGTATGTGTCACTGCCTTCAGTCTTCTTAGTGACATAGAAGGCATATTTACTCTTCCCGCTTCATATAGGAAGAACCAAGGATTAGAGAGGTTGTATGACTGTTTGGGAGCCATACTGCCCAGACTGGGTAAGAACCATATATGAACCAAAAAGCATGTGGTCTATACATCCCCTTTACACCATACCGTCTTTACTGTCCCCTGGGCAGAGTCGCTTCCAGTCCCAGGAATGTAGGCTCGATTTATTGAGCCTGTCCCATCAGTCCCCTGAAGGCTGCTATTTCAGCATGAGGAGGTACCTTTCATGGAACAGATCTCCCACCATACACTATGACATCACTTACTTTACACTTAAGTTTGGAGGGACTGATCATAAGTAGCAAGGAAGGAGTACATTGGGGAGGAGGGTTCATAGACCACAGACATTTCCCTTACTTTAAAGCTCTTTCTGGAGCACCTGCTACCTACTTCTCAGGAAAGTAAATTTCAAGTGCTTTGACTGGCCGTGGCCGTTCAACTATGAGCTGCTGACAGCATCTGCCTGTGGCTATGGCAATGTTGTGGAATGTTGGTCCTGGCTCCACCCTGTGCTCCAAGAAGCAGAAGGAAGTGAGGGGTGGGGAGAACACTTCCTGTAGGAGGCATGAAAGCCCAAGCACACCTGCCTCCCCCCCCCCCTCTTTCTGTCTCTCTCTCTCTTTCTCTCTCTGAGGGACTCTTAGCCAGCAGAGTCAGTCCACCTGGGAGCCTGGGCATGAGGTTAATTAGTGATGTGGAAAAACAAGGTCAGGAAGAGCTGCCAAGGGGCTGAGCCCAGGGAGCACCATGGGAGCAACCTTCACCACTGTCTTCATTCTTCATCTGCCTCTGCCACAGGTACTTACAGCAGGTACTTACCAGAACACCCTCATGCAGGCAGAAAACAACCCAATCCTGTAGTCATCTTGGGCTTTTTTTTTTTTTTTTTTTTTTTAGCACAGAGATATCTCACAAATTGCTATAAGGTTGCACAGGTCCTTTAGGACCTATAGTGACCTATAGTATTCCTTTCCTGTACAGTACTCTCAGGCAATTGTTTCCTTAAGTGGCTGGCTGGTGTAATTGGTGCTTTTTGCTAGGCCTCATCCTTGAGGGAGGGATATTGTTTCATTTCCCACAAGGCCCTTGACTCGGGCTGCCTAGGACAAAAGAGACCCCAAGACACAGCAGCTGCAGCAGTGGCATAGGCAAGGGGTCATTGCTTATGCGTAAACCTTAGTCCCCAAGTCAATCGTGCCTGAGCCTCCCTCTCATCAAGCCCTGCACCATTCCAGCCTGAGGGCAAAGCAGAGCTAAAGAGCCCTGGGCAGGGGTAGCTTCCGTGCCCTCCTCTCTTTGTGCACTGGGACAGTACAGGTACCCACGTCACAGTAGCACTGTAGGGTTAGTGAGCTTCAATACGGCGCGTGCTGAGATTCCATAAGATGGTGACCAAGCTGAGGTGGAAGTACTCTCTGAGGGACTCTCCCCGAGTCCTTGTCCACCCCCCCCACTTCCTGCCCACCCCCTACATCTAAAATCGACTGATCACCAAATCCTCAGAAGTTTGTACAAGTCAACACCCTTTCTGCTTTTGGAGACAAAGAAACCTGAGGGCTAGAAGTGATTTGTCCTGGATTCCATGCCTGAAGCTGTCTGCTCTCTCCTTGACATGAGGACATGGGCTCTGGATTCTAATGGAAGTCAAAACCACCCAAGCAGAAAATGGCTCGTGTGAACTGGCTGTGCCTGCTAGAGGAGGTAGGTAGGGCTCAGCAGCCTGAACAGGAGGCTCCCGACTGTCAGGGACAGACAGCACTCCTCCTACCAGCTCCCTGTTCTCCTGAGACCCCCATACACACTGGCCGCTATGGCCTTCAAGGGACCTGCCCATCTCTAAAGGCCCAAGCATTGCAACTATCAGCCAAATTACCAGTTTTTCCTACTAATCCCCTGTCTTTGAACAAATTAAAGATCACACTTCTGGGTTCAAATTAGGCTCTGTTACCAACTGCCTATGAGACCTCTGTGAATTTCTCAGCCTCAACTAGCCTTGGAATCATCATTTATAATGTGGAACCTGAACACCTCTACACCCACCCTGCTGGGAACAGCAGGAAAAATGTAGACAAACACTCCTGCCTTTTGGAGCTTCCCTCCTAGTGGAAAGAAACTGCTGACAGTTAAACAGACAACTTACATAGCATATCCAATGGTATGAGCATTATAAAGGAAAACAAAAGAGGCATGGAGTGGGAGAGCTAATTCAAACTGGATGGTCAGGTCAGATCACAGTGACAAGGTGAAATCCGAATGAAAACCTAACAGGAAAGCTGAGTTCCTGAGGCAGCAGGAACAATGGTGCAAAGGCCCCAGGATGCAGTCTTGGGGGAGGGGAGGGGTGGCAATGAGAGAAGAAGCTGCCTGATACAGTTGTGTTCAGAACTGAAAGAAATGATACTTGTGAACCTGAGCACAGAGCCTGGAGTGTCTGGCATCTGGCACTGGTGAGGAGAGAGGTGGCAGACTCTAGTCAATGGGAAGTGAATACAATCACTGGGGACTGGGGAGCCCAAGGAAGGAGGGCCAGGGAGACAGATGGACACATAAACATAAGGAGGCTCATACCCAAAACCTATATTAAGGAAGACGTGTAGGAGAAGGAAAAATTGAGAACACAGCCAGAGACACTGGCAGAGGAAGATCTGTGGAGATCAAGTGAGGGGCTGAGCCTCCTGGTAAAGCCAGATCTTTGTACCCAGGCAGTGCTGGATAGGGACTGGGGTGTCCTGGGATTAAAAGAAAGGAAGGAACAGAACCCGACAAGGAAGGCAGCTTTGAACAGCTCCTGCCCTCCCCCACCCGATGTGAGGCACACAGGAGGTCCTATCCTAGCTGAGGGCCACTCTTCCTTTCTACCCAACCTGGCTGTAAGCTAGCAACTAGAGCTGACCTTCACCTGTATTTACACTTGCCGAAAGGGCTTCACCAGCCTGCCCAGAATCTGTGAGTCCTCAACCAAATGGGATCTGATCCAGCTCAGGTAACTGTCAAAGAGCCCCTCTGTCAACATCCCATGCAGAACTGTCTTCCCTGGACAGACAATCCCATCCCTGACTGTGCATAGTTAGGCAATGTGTGTTTTTATAGCATGCCTCCTTTTAACCACTATGGAAGGAGATAAGTCACCATCCTACAAGGCCCACTCGGCTCAACTTTCTACTTCCTCCTAGAACCCCACCCCATTTAGAGGTGGGACTTGTCACTCGTCCTGGCCTATTGGACTTTATCTTTCATTACTACCACAGCTCTCATCACAATGCACCTAATATTACCGTTGCCATTTCTCGTCACCAATCTCTCTCTACTGCCAAGTATCCTACCTGCCCTAACTCTCCTCGGACCACTGTACTCTTCACATTTCTAGAACCCAAGCATGTAGCTTTCATGTAGTAAGTGCTGTCTTTGAGATGAGTAGAGCCAAGGTGACTGTTGCTTTTTCTCACAGGACTAGCAAGCTGTCAGAAGACGGATCATTAGCCACATGAATGGGCCTAGAGGTGACAAAGGTATGCCCTGGAGTACCTCCAGATAACAAGGAACCTAGCACCCCGACAGCTCTCTAGAGCAGGCCAAACCTACATACATCCTGACAGGACTCCTTGCTAAGAGAGGTGAGCACTTCATGGCCAAAAGGAAAATCCAGCGGAGAGCTGGGCTGGCATTTGTTTGTACCCAGGGGGTGGTGAGTGGCTGGTACTCAGCATTTAGGCTAACAATGTCCACGGTGGAGGTGGAGGATCAAGGAGGTAGCTCTTTCCGAAGCCCAGCTACCTAACTTTGCTCCTGCCTGCTCTTTCCTTAGATCTCCAAAATAGCCCAAGTTTAATTTCACTCCCTTCCCCCACTCCACAGTCCTACGAAAATGGTGACAAACAGAAACAACTCATCATCCAGAGACAAGATGCTCTTGAGGCAAATGCTGGTCTGTTCAGAATGAGAAAGAGAAACAACACTAGGAGGAAACTGGGAGGCTACTTGAGGCAGGATCAGCGGGGAGGCAAGCCTTTGGCTGCCTAGGATGGGCTGGCACTACCCTCCTGGGCTCGTATTTCATGTTCACCTTATCCTATTGCCCTAGCTCAGAGGGCAAAGCATCAGCAAATGCTGGTCCTCACTCTGAAGCCTATCCTGACTACTGTGGCTACCAACCATGTCAGACCTTCAGAGGGACACGAGTCTTGTCCCTCTGCCCCAAGTCTGGCCTCTTCTTCTTCTTCTTTTTTTTTTTTCCTATCAAAGTCATCTGGTGAAAAAGTGAGAGAGGTTAGGCCCAGGCATTTCTAGAAATGATAAGGAGTAAAGAAGAGGATAGGAGTGGAGTGGAGGAGGAGGCTCTCTAGTGAGAGCCACCCCAAGCCTTCCAGGGCTGGAACTATGGAGGCAGGAGTAGCAGCAGATATGGACTCATGAGACGTGGGTTTGGATTGTAGTGCTACTGGCTGTGCTCTCCAGAGAGGTGTCACTGTGACTCAGTGGTCTTATCTGTTCATTGAGGTGAATGATTCCTGCCTCTTCTGAGCCAGGGGAGACAGCAGAGCAAATGCCAGGCCAAGCTCCTAACAGACAACAGAGGCCTGAGAAAGAAGGACATTCATCTTTAGCTGTGCTCCTGAGGCAATGGGGATCCTGGGAATCCTGGGAATCCCATATTCCGAAGGGAAACATGGTAGGAAAAAAGATCTACCCAGGAACCTTAGCCAAAAGAGAAGGGCTGTGGCCCTGTCTTTATGCAGCTGAGTTAAATCCAGCTCTGCCTGGGACCTCTAAAGAACAGAGTAAGGAACCAAGGTAGCTCAGAGTCCCATTAGGTAGGCCTCTAGTCTACTCTCAGGAAGGAGCAAGTCAGGACTGTATAGACCAGCTTGTCCTCAGCTCAAGCCACAGAAGCAGCCTGACAACAGTGAAGGCTCCTGCCTAGGCTCCTACCTAGGAGCCTTCCTGAAAGGACCAACTGATGGCTGGGCCAGTAGCTAGGCAACAGGCTTTCTTAATTAGCTCAGTCCACTTTTGGCTTGTGTCTGGTTTGCTCCTGTCATAACATACTAGTCAAATGACTGGACTGTTGTATGTGAAAAGATGCCTCAAGGCCCAGAGCACAGCTCTTCCGCCCTCCCAGGGGACATCTTGAGTCTACCAACCCCTGGTGTTGCAAACTCCTTCTGGGGAAGGTGCAGCTGACTGGATGGTATGCAACAGTACAGCTCTCCTGTGGGGAACGGTTCTGCCAAGTTGGGGTCAATGGAGAAAACAAATGTAACTTCAGAGCTCTCTATATGCCACTGTCCCTCAGGTCTTAAAGAGTAACAGGGAAAGTGTCTCTTCTGGTGTTCCCTTGGACTTTTGAGTCCCATTGATTCCTGATGTTTATTCACAGAAGGAAAGAACCTCAGGACAATAAGCAGGCTGGGATGAGAAACGAGCTACTTCTTCATCCTGCAAATAGCCTCTTTCAGTGGGGAAAGCACATGGTAAAGCACAGGAGTAAAGGCTTAGGCATGAAGGCGCCCTGGCTTTGATTCAAAGCCCTGTACCAGCTCTGTTATCCCAGGCCAGTGCTCCCAGCTTCAATCCGTTAAGTGGGCACTGTTTCAAGTTCATTAGGAAGAATAGTGATTAACGTAATATCTTCATAGCAAAGTCCTGGAACAGGGTACTCAGTGAAGAGTTAGCATGATTATTTTTAATATAAACTGTGTATTCCTACTTGCATGTCCAGGAGCATCTCACAGTTGGTCTCTGCCTGTGTCCCTCAGCTGTGGGCAAGTCTTTTGGCACAAGTGCCAGCCAGAGTCCACAACACTATTGAGATCGGCACTAGTGATCTGAAGGTTGGAAACTAAGGTGGCTTTGGCAAGACTGTGAAATGAAACTGAACCCTGGTTCCCCTGCTTAAATAGAAGACATAACCCTCTACTTGATGGTAGAGCCTCTTGCAATTCCAGAGGGAAAAAACTAAGCAAAGGCCTCTGAGTGCTCAGAAATCGGGCCTAACAGCCACCTCTCCTCATTACTGCTTCCCTCACTTCTGCCTTCTTACCACACACCTCTGAAAAAGTCTCAATGACTTGTGCCTGTCTCTCTGTCCTCCTAAAGACAAGCTAAGGGCCAACACTGCCCAGGTGAATAGACTCACTCAAAGGTGTACTGGTCAGGGACATCATCTTGCCCCACCTTCTTAGCTGGTTTCAGGACTGTAAGGCCATAAACCAAAGCAGCTGGGGCAGACAGGGGTCTGGAAAGCAGCCTTACAGCAGCTACCTCAAGTCCCAGCCCTGCGTGAGACTTCTTGCTAAAGACCCTGGCTTGGTATTTATACCAGCCTCACTGGTCCCTGTAGCTGCTTTCTTCAACACCGTGTTCTCTAGGTTGCAGTGGGACTTTTTCTCCCATGACTAGAATGAGGAGCAGCCCATGGGGGGCGTTGAGGAGAGGTGGAGAGCAAGGCTCTGAGACTCATTAACACGACAACTTGGAATGCCAAAGGAGCCAAATCAATCCAGCGTCAGCTTCCAAAAGCCTACCTCAGACACAGCCAATCACACTGCTTTTCCTCCTTCCTTTTTTCCTTCTGGATGCTAGACAGATCCCAGCCAGGTGTTAGGCTAAGGCCGTGAGAGCACATTCCAGCCTCCAGGCTTTTCTATTTTTACAGTCTAAGGCCTTCTTCAGGGTCTTGGCTGCCCAGGGATGATGGAGTGAGTGGATAAACACATATCTTTCTAGCACCCTCTCCCACCTTCAAGACAGACAGTAGGTCTTGTCCAAATCAACCTGTTTCCCCTGTTCCCCATACATCCATTTCCAGTGTAACCTGAACCAAGGCTTTCTGGGAAGCCACTTAGTGCTGCAGCAGAAAGAAGAGGGCAGTGACAAATCCGGTACCACCACCAGGAAGCTTGTGGCTGGCCACTGTCCTGGGATCCTGAGGAGCCTAAAACAGCAGGCGTCTCCTGTCTACTTCTACACTCCACCTCGGCAGAGGCCAGGCTATGACAGAGGTACAGAAAGCCTTGAGACACAGCCTGCTCCCTGGAAGAAAGGTCCTCCATCAGGAAAGGAGGCCTGGGCTCTGGGCGTCTCTGCCTCTTAAGAGACTGGCGTTCTGGAAACTACGCCCCCTTTCTCTGAAATGGATAGCCGCCTGCCTGCACCTAGAGCTGCTGGCAAGATGGAAACAGGTTAAGCGTCCAACAATCCAAGATTTCCTTCATTGATCCTGCCTCACCTCTGCAAAAGGCCACATTTAAGCTCTCCAGGACTGTGGTCCCGTGGAGGGCAACTGTGCTGACCCAGAGAGGATCGACAAATGCCAAGTTGAAGGCATGCCACTCACTGAGGGGGCATGCGGCAGAGCAGACAGCTGGGGTTAGGTCCAAGTAAGTAAGTTAAGTGAATGCAATCTCCTGATGGAGCTTGCAGGACAGAAGGTGGTGGTGGTGGTGGGGTTATTCCCAAGGGCCCAGGCGGGACTTAGGAGGCAGGTAGAACAGTCTGCCAGGCACACCAGTCTCCTTCCACCCCATCTCCCAATCCTATCCACCAACACCAGCACCAAGAAACCCTTGGACGCTGTGGTGGGGAGACCCTGGCTTCTGCCACTCACCCTGGCCGCCCGGGATGAGTAGGGATCCTCGAAGAGCGCCCACATTCGGGGCTGCCAGCCACGGCAGCCCCCGGACCCAGCACCAGGGCCCGCGCCTCCCTCACTGGGGCCCAGGCGCTGCAAGGCCAACTCCCTTTCATCGTCGCCAGCATCGTCGCTGGGCCCTGCGCCACCCCCTCCCCCGTCCGGGCTCTCGAAGATGTCCAGTGCCTCCTCAGCATCGCGGTGCTGCCGGTAGGTCATCCAGCAGCAGGGTTCCACGTCAGTTTCATCGATACCCCAGAAGGTGAGCTCTTCCTCGAAGAGGGGCCCGCAGACGTCGGCGGGGCAGTGCAGCTTGCCGGTGCGGTAGTAGTTGAGCACATAGGCAAAAACACCCGGGTGCCGATCAAAGAAGAACTCGCAGCCCCCGCCGCCGCCGCCGCCGCCGCCGCCGCCGCTGCTGCCGCTGCTGCCCGCACCGCCGCCGCCATCCGAGTCCTGCCGACCCCCGCCGTCGGGATCCGCCAGCCAGGCAAGGCGGGTTCCCGGCAGGGTGCGCAGGGTGCTGCGGTAGGTCTCATGTCGCGTGCCGCCCACGTTGATGATGATCTTCTCCGACGCCTCGCCCTTGGCCATCTCCTCCTTCAGACATGTTTTGGACGGAGGCTTGTTCCCCGACTTGCGCCCGCGGTAGGAGGAGACACACACCGAGCTGATCATAAGAAGCGCTGCGGGGCTCCGGCTTGGGGCGGCCGCTGCCCTCCAAACACCCTTCCCAAGGAGGCAGCGTCAGAACGGGGAGGGGGGAGGAGACGAGGAGGAGGAGGAGGAGGAGGAGGTGGTGGTGGAGGAGGAGGCAGGAGGCTGTGGCTGCCCCTTCTGCGGTGTGACTCTGCCCCTGCCTACCCCCCTTCCCCCCCCCTCCCGGGGCGCGGAGCGGGAGCAGTTGGGTTTCTCTGGTGCACAGGTGGTTGGGATTCGGGCAGGCAGAAGCTAGGAGAGGCAGGAGGTGAAGATCGGGGTCGAGGACTCAAGCCAGGGGTCCCGGGTCCCAGGAGGTAGGGGCAAGCACAAGGATGCCCCGGGCCGGGGACACGCCCCCCAACCCCAGAAAGACAGAAGCGCACGGTCCCAGAGCACCGCGAGGGTCCGCGGCGCAAGCGCTCACACTCACACGGGCCACCTTTTGGCTCCTAGAACCACGGCGGCGAGCCCAAAGGCTGCTGGTTTGCTCCGGGAGGCGGCGGCGGCGGCGGCGGAGGCAGCGGCGTAACAGCAACAAGTCCTCGGAGAGGCTACCGGGGCCAGGCGGATGCTCTTACGGTAGCCAGAGCTCTGCGGGGCCGGGCAGCTTGCGGTCAAGTCGAGGCGGCGGCGGCAGCATGTGGCCTGTTCCCCCCATTCATAAATCCAGCGCAGAGCACCGGTGGCGGGCGGGGCTGAGCCGAGCAAAACGGACCGGCGGGCGGGGGCTGCGCAGGACCAGGCGGCGGCCGCAGGAAAACAAGCGCGCCCGCAGCCGCGAGCCCGGGTCCTGCGTCCGGGGCCGGGAGCTGCGCCGGGCTGGGTGCAGCGCTGCGGGGGCCGCGCCGGGACGAGGGGGGGCTCGGACGGGGCGTCCTGCGCGGCGCAGTGCCTGGAGGGCGGGGCTGCTCTGGAGAGACAGGCACCGGGTTCTGGCGAAGGAGCGTCCCGGGCGGCGGCCGAACGGCTAAGGACACCTGCAGGCTTCCGGGGGCAGCGCCAACAGGGAGCCTCAGCGCAGCGCCCCGGCGCCGGGTTCCTGCGATCTGGCGGCGCCGGGAGCCGCGCCATCTACGCGTCTGCCCATCTCCGGGCGGGGCGCCGGCCTTGGATCGCTGTTAGGAGCGGGCGCGAGGTGGTCTAGGGAAGGGAGCTCCTGAGCGCCAGAGGAAGAGGGCTCCCGAGGGCTCTGCGTCTCCCTCCCGCGATGGCAGAGGATGCGGCGCTCCAAGTGGCGCCCTTTCCTAGCGGCCCCGCCTGACCCGGGCGCGCCCTCGGCGGGGCTGGGTGGGCGCGGCGAGGCGCAGGGCCGACCCGGTGCGTTGCGGAGCTCGGGCGGCAGAGCTCAGCCTTCATCCGCGCATCCCAGCTCAGCGGAGGCGCGTAACCCTCTCGCAGCCAGTGCCCAGCGTCGCGCGCAGCCCCTGCGCGCCTCCGCTGCCATCCCCTCCGGCCCCACTCCCCGCCTCTCCCTAGGCGTCAGCTCCACCCACTGCAGCCCTTGGTGACACTCTCGACCCTTGACCTCTAACCCCTCTCTTTTTTTGTGCCTCTTCACGCAGAACCGAACCTGTGTCTCCCTCTCAGCTAAGCTGGTCTTATTGTTGCAATTTTACTGTTTCATTGTGGCTGACTGGAAGCCAGGATGGAATAGAGTGGCAAGACTGTACATCAAAGAAGAGGCTGTCTTCTCCTCCAGAAACAGGGTTTGACTACCATGGTCCTGTCCTGTGTCTCGGATGCTCTAGACCTTGATATTTATAATCTCTGCCATAGTCACCACAGCCTCCACCTTGGCACCAGGACAGCATGGTCTTGGGCAGAGAGAAGTATGTTTCTTCTGGTCTAAGTGGAAGGAAATCCTAAACCTGCTGCCCTCTGTGGAGAAATGGATTATGAGTACGGCCCTGTGGCCTTGAAGATCAATCATCAAGTTGGAGGCCTGGCTTTCCATTGCCGTGAAGGAAACAGAGGAAAGACCGCCCTCTGCCTTGTGCCATCTTACAGTCCCGTTACTGTTCCATTCCTGGCACTTTGTGTTTTCCTTGTCCTCTCTCTGTGACTTCGGGTTCCCCTAGGCTGTGCTGTGTTTTTTCATCTTGATAACATCCACAGTGCTCGGCTCTGAGGACCCATTTACTAAGTAATTGAGAAGCTGCCATATCCAAAACATGAAGCATTAGACTTTGCTGGCCATGTCCCAAAAGCAGTTTCCAGACTCATTAGTTTTTAGCTTTTTTAAAGCCCAGAACCACACCTACATCTTTAACATTCTTCCTCTCCATCTCCTCCACCTCCCTTTGCTTCAGGCACTGTGGGTGATATAAAGAGGATTTTTAAACAACAGTGCAAGGTGATGGACACATTATACCTTATACTTCTCATGTACCATCTGATTTCTTGATTAGGCCAGCACCTATCCATACTGGGCAAATGAAACAATGAACTATCCACCAACCTGGATTTTCCTGTTCTTCTGAGAGAGGTTAAAAATCCAACATAAATGCAAGGGGTTTTTACCAGCAAAGGTCTTATCATTAATGGGGTTTAAACCACACACACACACACACACACACACACATACACACACACACACACACACACACACACACACAAATGATACTCTCTGATGATCTGTGCCAGCATGCAGGGGAGGACCATACCACCATCTTGACGGTAGTTGGAAGCACTCATCTGTAGGCTTCTTATTTGTGCGCATCCTTACTCCTTAGACATGATGTCTGTGTTCCAGAGTTTAGCTGCAGCAAAAAGAAACAGTGTGTGACTGGATCTTCTGATCCAGGGCTGGCCAGGACTGGAGCGAGGATGGAAGACCTCCCAAGAGGACATTAATGAACTGACTGTAACGATGGCTTTAAAGTCCTCTCTGGACTGTGTCCTGACAAACCCCTTGGACTCTCTATTCACTCTCCATTCTTCCAGCCAAGTGACAAGTGGATGGATGTATAGGGCTGGTGTGAGGGAGGGAGGACACACACAGAAGTATCCAGTTTTTGTTTATTTGTTTATTCATCAAACGTCCACTAGCTTCCAGAAACTATTCCAGACGCTGAACACGTCTGTAAATAAAGTGACCCCTGTCTCTAACCCCAGGAAACCCCTCCAGTCTGTGCTTCCATTGTGCAATACTGGTGGGATGGTGATGAGTGTGGAGGATCAACCTTGCCGAGAGAGAGAGAGAGAGAGAGAGAGAGAGAGAGAGAATGAAAGACAGGAGGTAGATGGGAAAGCTGCTCTATAACGGGGGCGGGGGGTGTCCCAAGAAGGGCTCAGAAAAGTACTTGGTTAAAGGTATTATTCTACGAGGGCCCCTGGCCAGCTGGTACTGACAGTTTATTCTAAAGCTGGACTAACTTGCTTCATGGGCCTTTCTGAGCTTCCTTTGGGAGAGTGAGCATGCTAAGGGTGGTTCTCTGAGGCTTACCTTCCTCAGCTCTGTGTATGTGATAATGTTAATAATTTCTTCCAAAATCTATGGTTCTGGAAGAGGTGAGTCCCTGCCCTACTGTGAGTGGGTGGGTGCTGCCCCCTAGTGGTCATATGACAACCTAATTAACGAACTCTTCCTCAGCTCCCAGCTGTGAGGTGTGTTGGAATGGGCTGTGCTTTCTATTGGTTCTTAATGACAGCGGATCCAGGCTTTCCTATTGATTCCAAGACCTTGGGCCTTAGCCCCAGACTAACATTTTCAGAATACTGCCTACTCTCTCTAGTCTCCATTCCCCAATATCCTAACAGGTACAAATGTAAGCAAGTCTACCCCCAGCCCCTGCTTGGAAATGTCTATTTTCCCAAGCCTCTCCCCATCTTTTTACCTTTTCTTCACCTTTCTTACCTGGGTTGTTTTTGTTGCTGGCTTTTTTGTTTTGTTTTGTTTTTGTTTTTGTTTTGGCTGTAGGCAAGAGCATCTAGAGCCACAATGTGGAATCAGATGCAGTAAGTTTCCTAGTTAGAATTTAAAGGGGTAGCCAAGGAATAAGGACAAAAAGCAAAGCTTAGATCTAGAATGATGCTGATGCAGGCTCCTGGACTCCTGTCTCCTTTGTAGGGCTCTTGAAGAAGGCCTTTCCCCCAGCTCTGCTGAGGCCAGAGGGAAACTGAGAGGCTAAAATTAAAGTCTCTCCTCCTTGAGAGCATGCATGTGATCTTCCCCCATTGAAAAGACAGGACCTAGCTGAGCACTTGTCCACTCTTCCCTGGGATCCCCTTTTCTAAGGGACTCCAGGCTAAGGAGCTGACCTATGGCTATCAGGACAAAGTTAAATCCTTTGGTACTCACATCTCTTAGCATTCCAGGTCCTGCCAGGGACCAACCCCTCCTCCTTGAGATCCAGACCAAGAAGCCAGCATCCTTTCCCAGCATGCCCTGCACCCTCTCAGCCTAGCAAATTGAATTGCTTTATCAGACTTCATCACCAGGCATATGTGGTAGGCCTTTTATTCTGTGCGGGATGAGTAGGGGAGACAAGAGAAGTCTGGGGCTCTGTTTGCTCAGCAGCTCATTTTATTCTTCTGCTCCCACCCCTAGACTCTCAGGCTCCAAATCTAATGTGACAGCTGTCTCAGGAGGGTTCTAGAAAGAATGTACCTAAGACAACAACCCAGAGTACTACAGGCAATATGGAGCTACACTGGTTCTGACAAGGGCTATGGACAGGGTTGGATTCCTTTAAAAATATCAGGGAACTCCGGGTTCATTGATGGTCCATCTCTTAAGAGGATGAGACCAGAAAGGTGCAGATCACAAATTCGGTCTGGGTTAGAACTCAGGGCTTCAGACACAGTAGCTTAGAGTCATAGGGCTAGGAGGGATTAGCTGCTACCTCATTGGCATGTTCCTGTTAAGGGGCTTCAGGCCTATGCAGCATCGGTGAACCTTAGAGATGGAGCTCAGATGGGTTTGGACCAAGAACAGAGAAAACATAGAGGCCCATGTGGTCTTCACATGTAGGACTGTGTTCATGAGAATCACAGAGCTAGAGACAGCTGAAGGGACCCCTAGAGGCCTTTTTACTCAAGGCTGTTGGGCTGTGGGAGGCAGCTGGGGCTGGGGAGTGCACACACTCACACACACACACACACACACACAGAGAGAGAGAGAGGTCCAGCTGGCATGACTCCTTGGCACTCAATATTTCTCCATCTAGAAAAGTACAGATTCCTCCTACCTGGGCTAAGCTCCAACAAAACAGGTTCATTCCAGTATAGTAGTTAATTAATCCTGATGGCTGATCCCCCTCGAGCACTATCCTGGAGAAAGAGGAGCAGCTGTCTGGAGAGGCAACTCAAACCCAGGCTCTTGTTGGATAATGAAGACTAAGGGTCTGTCTCTGCTTAGGTTACCTCTGGACACAAGGGAAAGACTCATTATCCTGCTAACCAGGACCCTGTGAACCCAGGAGTAGACCCTTGCCATGTCTCTGTGCTTTGCAGCTGGCACTCTGTCTGCATGGATTAATCTTACTCATATTTTTTTTTTGTGAAATAACCTAAGTCTCCTTCGCATCTCCCAGGTTCCTTCCCATCTCATCTAGTGTGCCTGGCACCGTCAGGAGACAGACACACCAAGCCTCATTGTGATTGCTTGTACAAGACAAGGAAGCCTGCCTGACCTGAGCCTTTATGTGGGTTCTCGGGGTTTAGTACAACTCCAGATACCTGCTTCATGCTGCGTGTAAAGAATTAATGGAGGTTAGAAATGGGAGAAGGTTGGGCCCCTCTTCATCGGTCCTTGTAATATGGTAGAGAGTACACTGGGGTGAAAGTCAGGATACCAGTCTTTGGTCACAGTTTCTCCTCAACTTGGTTGGAGGAATTCTTACCCCTGCCCTCTCTTTCCTCAATTGTTATAAGGTGGTTAGGTCAGACCATCCTTCAGATTCACTTCTTGGTTATTTTTATTGTAAAACAAATTGCCCCTATATGTAATTTTTCCAGTCATTTTTTTTTTCATTCATTATTTTATGGGCCAGGAAGTCAGGACGGGCTCAGTTGAGCAGTACTTAGAATTGGTGCACTTGAAACTACACATCCACTGGTACTGCAAATATATGAGGTTCTTCTGAGCTGAAGAGTCAGCTTGGCACATTCGCATGGCTGGTGGTTGACAAACGCTAAGAGCTCAGCTGAAGCTGCCAGCTGGAGCACCTGCAAATGTGCTGCTTCTAGCTCTGTAGTCTCAGGTAGCTGGGCTACCTCCCAAGGCAGCTAAATCCCTCTCCCCAGAACCATTATCCTTAGAACAATTCCTTTGTTGATGTAGCCTTGCAAGTCATACAGCATTACTTCCTCCATTTCCTGTGGGTCAGAGGAGGGATTTGCTTGCTCAGGTTCAAGAGGAGAGGCAGAGAATGGGAGAAGAGTTAAAGAATGGGGATGCCTTTGAAAATTCACCAACAAAAATGCTGCCACATTCTTGAAGTTTGTAAAATCTTTAGCCGGCGCCTAGGACTGGATGAAGCTGTGTCTGATTGTGACTAAGGAGGAAACAGGACAGTGACAGGATTGGTAGGTGCCTGCTTCCCTGGAAAGAACTTTTCTTTCCTTCTTCCTTGGCTTCTTTCTGGGTTAGGCTGAGACTGTCTTCTAGCAATAATAGTCCTAGGATGATGCTTCGTTGCATGGTTGGAAGAGAGAAGAGAGTAATGCTCAATCAGCATATATTAATCGCCCTATGGAAAAAACTTCTTATACTATGGCCATCTGGCACCTCAGGAGTTCATTTATGCCTTCCAGCACCTCAGAGATGATACTTTATTGTCATACAGGTTCAGAGGGTTAAGTGGCCTGCCCAAGGTTGGTGATGGACTCATGATTGAAACCTCACACTTCCTGCCCCTGGGGCCAAAATGAGGCAGGAGAAGTGTCTATGACTCATGCCTTTAGTATGCCCTTCTCGTCTTCTTCCCTACTTATTGCCTCCATTCAAGGCCCAAATTTAGCTGCTCACCTCCTCAGAAGAACAGAGTGGCTCTGTGTCTCAGTTCTGTGCTTCATTATCCTCTCACGAAAAACATTGAGGGACACATCTAATGCCCCTGGATAGGTTTATTGTATGGGCACCTCCCATTTCAAATCTACAGTGAGGTCTGTGTGCCTCTGGACAGGTGCATAGACTATGGTGGGGGTGATACATTCCCAAGACTAGGCCTTAAGGAATAGGTGGCTTCCAGTTTCCATTTTTCTACCCTTAAGATGGTCTCCCTGAGCACTTTGAGCCACCAGGTAAGAATTTGGTCACTAGAAAAGAACTAGTGCTATAGAAATATCAGTTGCAGAAGATCACTCTGACCAACAGGTGCAGCTAAACCCCACTCCTACCCATTTTCACCCAGGAACTAGATATTTAAATAAATGTGAAAAACGTTTTCTTGGGACTGCCAGACCAGCTCTGGTAGCAACTGAATACCACTTTAGTTTCCACCAATTCATCCTGGGATTCCTCATTCATAAAATCATGAGGTATGATATGATGGTTGGTCTAGGATTTTGGACTGACTTGGAACACTGCAAAAAATAACTGGTTCAGGGTGTATTGTCACATTTAAACTATCCTCTCTCCTTCTTTCTCTCTTGCAAATTAGAAAATGGTGGCTCAGAGAGATTAAGTAGCTTGCCTAACAGCTTGCCTAGTAGGTCTCTCAGGAAAAACAAATCCCAGCGACAGCTGAACTTAAACTTGACCATGAGGAGTCTGACTTCAGGGCTCCACTGCCTCGAAGCCCTTAATACAGTGAGTCTTAGTGTCTATGTACCCCTCCTGGAGGGATGGCTGCCATTTCAACCAAAATTACCAACAGACTGAGTGACTGTATGGGGAATGATTTGTCCAGCATTGGGACATTCCCTTGTTTGAAAGATAAATACGAGGGGTTGATGTGACAAAAGAGGCCGTTCAAGACGTGTTCTTAATGTCTGTTCAGTGAATACCCCACGGAGTAAGTGACAGTTGAAGAGGTTTCCCAGGCTAACACGTGGACAGAAAGGGGTTCCTGCCACCTGGTGGCTGCTCCTGGAACAGTGGCAGGGCGGCAAGGAAAGGCAATGGAAGGTTCCTTTGGAGGACCCTGCTCTATGAGACTGGGATCCCACAGCATTGATCCAGACTGGGACTGAAAGGGATGAGAGTGGGGTTCTTCTGAAGACTACATTCCTAGCAGAGCTCCTTCCGTTCTTTATGGTCCTGCTGATTTAACAAAAACTTGGGGTAGCACATCGTAACACTTCGCCTTTACATTCCACTGGAGATTCCAAAAGCTATTATGTGCAGTGAGGGGTAACTCTCTCAGAACTTAGAACATGGCTTGCTGTAATCCCCCACTTCCCTAAGGGTCAAGTCAGCCCCCTGCCTTTCTTGTGTCTCCCCCTCAGACCTCTGCTACCCCATCCATGCAGAGTGGACATATATGAAGCTGGATAGGAATGGCCCTTGAAAGGCCTTGAGGACACCAAACACTGTTTGGTGATAGATGGAGCCTCATTCTCCTTACCTGGAGAAACATAGCTTTCAAGCATTTCCCTCAGAGAAATGGCCTCCGATGTATCCGGTGTGTGAGGCACAGTAAGGCCAAGCACAGTGTACGCGCATTGGTAACACCTAGGGAAATTCCTAAGAAACTGACTGGTTATCCAACCACAACCTTGTCAGCCAGAACCCACAAGGAAACTGGCCCCACCCCATCCTAAAACACACTTTTGTCCCAGCTCCCCGCCCCCCGTAAATGTAAGAAAGACAAGAGAGCATGGTAAGAACAGACACTTTATTGTACACCAGGGTAGGGAGATGACGGGGTAGGGCCCTGGGGTAACAATGCCTCATCCCCCCTCCTGGTCAGTTATACTGACCAGTCCAGGACACATGAACTTTAACCATTCTGAACCTGTGTCAGGATCTGAAGTGACTGCCTGGCATGTGTTTAGGTCTGTACAAAGCAGGACGTCTCATGAAAAATGACCCTGGGCCCTCCTCCCCCAGCTTCCTGCAGCTCAGACCTAGGAGGAGGGACACAGGGGTTCACAGAGAGTCACAGTATTGCGACCCACTCACTCTTGCTCTTCTGGTTGTGGGAGAGCTGGCGGTAAGGAAGGGTAGGAGGGCAGCTCCTACCTAGTAATACTGCAGGCCTGATTGGGCCTGGCTCACAGCTCAGACAGGTTGCCTCTCAAGGGCATTTCCTGGCACTTAAAAAGCAGCAGCCCCTGAAGATTTATTGCTTGATGGCAGAAGCCAACCTTACCTGCAATCCCTCTGCAACTCATGTCTCCCCCACCACCCAAACTGGACCTCAGGCTTCATGCTGTCTCTGTGAAGAGGCCTGGGAGCTCCCTGAGCAAGAAGCTGGTGACTGGGGCTGTGAGGCAGGCAGAACAGAGAACCCTTAGGTGACGCCTGCACTGTCCCAACTCAAACAGCCCCACCCCAAACCCTTGTCTCTTGGGAGGCACTGTATGGACAGCACCAACTGGTTGCATTGGGGACCCTGGGCAAAGACTTGGAAACCTGACCCTCACTTCCAGCTCAGGTGATTCTGCCTCAGCTCTCCTGAGAAGCCAGCAGAGGTCTGAGGAGCAGCTGTTGCTTTCTGAGTACTCAAGACTTTCTCGGGGACAAATGCAGGACAGAAGGGGCAGAGAGGTGCCTTCCTCCAGCTAGCTTAGCCTAAGAAACCCGGCACTGTCTGTGGAAGGCAGTGGGACTCCAGTGTGAACAACAGAAAGCCAACTGGGAAATAAACTTGGGGGCTTTCCCCCCACTCAAGGCCCTCCTTGCCACTAAAGGTGTGATGACAATGAATCACCTGCAGGAAACACATGCCTTTCCCCACAGCTAGAGCTTCTTAGAAGTGCCTGCCCTGACGCCTCACCCACAGAGCAGAGAGAAAGATATGGGTCTTCAGAAGGTGGGGAACACTGGGTGGGTGGGGATATCACAGATCAGCACCTCGTGCACTCACGCCTACGAATGTAACACACACACACACACACACACACACACACACACACACACACACACGGAGCTCTGGATCCTATGTCCAACTCACAGCAAAGATGCAGCCAGGACAGGTTCTGGCCTACAGCGAAAGGCTACAACATACACTACAGAGCCCACAGTGCACAAGCAAACAGCCCCAGCTCAGCTCCCCCTCCCCCCTACTCACTGCAGGCTCACAGGCTGGGGCCTGGCCCAGCCACACTACAAAATTAAAAATATATCAAATATACAATTAAAATAGATCTGTACAGCACTGAGGATGAAAATAGTCCACCAGCCACAGTATAATATTGGGTTTGTCATTTCACAGCATTTACACCCACATGTACAGATTGAATGTACAATAGAAATAGCAGATAGAGAGGAGTATAGATAGTGGAGTCTCTGCTGGGGCCTGGTTTTCCTGTTTTCTAATTCTGCTTGGGACTAGGCATGGCGCCAGGTAGGAGGTGTTGTCAGGTGAGGGGGCCGATGATGGCATGCCATGCCCCAAAAGCTCGTCTCTTTAGGGACGTACGGAACCCCTTTCGCCTTAAATACTAGGACAGGTGGGAGCGAGAAGGTTAGAAGTGAGAGAAGGTGTGTGGAATTGAGGAAAAAGAGAGATGGCAGGCTGAGGGGATGGACCTCCTAGGCTAGGGAGGCAGGTCACCAGTAGTCATAGGAGTAAAACGTGGGCACCTAGGCTTAGTCTGTCCCTGTCGGTACTGAGGGAAGTCAGGGCCACAAGAAAAGACCCAGGAACCTTTGGAAGGGGCCCAGGTCTCTTCCTGCCTACCAGAACTTTCGAAGACAGAGACAGTCTCCCATCATATCTCCACCCACCCGTCTGTCCGTCCATCCCAGCCAGCCAGCCAGCCATATGTATTCTCATGTGCATCTCTCTAATGTGATACCACAGAGAGAGACTGTGCTTCTCCGGTCAGCCTCTCTGAAACAGCCCCACTCCCAGGGGAACCCTAAAAAAAGATCAGGGACACTGTCATAGGCTGCATCTCCCCTCAGGGCCTGAGGTTCTGCTTTGCCCAGAATTGCCTGCGCTACTTCTCTGAACAGGCTAAGGGAAGTTTGGGGAAGGTTTCCAAGGTGTCTTCACAGGATGTGCACACTAGTGGCTGTGCTTGTGCAACAAGGAGAGTGAGTGGCAGCCCAAAGGGGCAGTGAAATTACCTGTCTTTCCTTGGAAATGATGGCTCCTGAATGCCAGGAACCCCCGTTCTAGGGGAGAAGCTGCCACTAAAGAGAATATCGAGCTCCAGATGAGGTGTGGAAGAGTGTGTTTCCCTTGTGCTCCATACCATTGAGATTGTGCTGGGAACCTACCAGTTGTGCTCTGGAGACCTTGACTTGCACTGCCTTCTCCCCTCCCTGCTTTCTCTCTGGGACAGATGCAAAGACCACCACCCCTGGATCCAGGCTGGAGAGAAGAGATTGAGAAATAGCTAAACCCTAGCTAAGGTGACGCCACCACCATGCTCTCAGGCAAAATCAGGAACATACCGCCACCTGCCCCTGTCAGGGGATGCAGGGACATTCAGAGATTCCCTGAGCTGGCTGCGGATTCATTCCGTTCAACACACGGCCTTTCTCAGAAGACAGAATTGAGGAGTTTCCATATACCTCAGGGCAAATCAAAGCCCGAGTCTTGACACACGCATCCCTACTCCATCTTAGCTCAGGAACAGCCCAGCTTGGCTGGACAGGATGCTGAGTCCTGTTCTTATGGCAGTCTGGGCTAACATCTGCCTCCTGCATGCTCAACCCTGAAGCCTCTGCCCACCGCCACCACTGTGACCAGCAGCACAAAGTGACCCTCCCCGAGACCCAAGAACTGCAAGTGGTTAAGTTTGACAGGGAAAGGGGTGGTGACTCCTAAAATGCCCACTTGAAGTTTCCCCCATCCTGGGACTGTTGTGGTTACGTTGGTTGCAACTTGGCAAGAGTTCTTTAAAAAGTTACATGGGTTGGAGTCCTGGAACGGGGACTGAATGGTCCCCAGGCCCCTGATCACAGGTAGGGAATCTTCTGGGACTTGGGTGGGGAACAAGGCAGGGCAGATCTTCTCTCTTTGGACTGGCCTGGGTCTGGTGGCCACCATGGAGGAAGAGGCCAGGCCCAGAGAAGTGGGCAGGTTGGATATTGAGGGAAGGCAGGCCGGGTGGAGCTGTGGTCACAGCTCTGACTCAGGGGTGCTGGCCAAGAGGTAGCCGCTTCCATAGCGTCCATTGGGATTGCCGCTGGTCTCCAAGGGTGATGTGCTGCCAGGCCCCAGATAGGAGCGGTGGGTGGGCATGGGGGAGGGTGCCTCACTGGGCACCTTGCTGAGGATGAAGCGGGTCTCATCATTCTCCTCCAGATTGGAAATGTCCTTCATCATGCGGCCCTTCTTGTAGGACACAGAGAGGGTGTTGGAACCATCGGAGAGCAGGTGGAAGTGCCGCAGGATGAACACCACAGGGATGGGCAGGGTTGCCACGGCAATGAGGGTGATCAGCAGTGCCATGGCCCAATTGGGGAAGTACAAGTATCTCTCGGCAGCCTAAGGGGTGACAGCAGGAAGGACGCTGCAGGGCACCAGGCAGTGCCAGTCCCGAGCCTACAGACTGATCTCTTCCCACCCATCTTTTCCCATGGCCTACCCACTTCCCCTCCTTCCACCCCGACCAAGTAGCAGTGCTACTTAAATGTCAGCTTGGCAGGGCCTAGGGGGAGGAGGGGACTGCAGAGACTGATGCATCAGCCAAACATCATGCAAGACCCCCCTGCTCAGATGTAGCCCATAGACAGCTCAGTCTCCATGTGGGTCCCCTAGTAAGGACAGAAGAGACAGTCTCTGACATGAGCTCCGTGTATCTGCTTCTGGATCACTTCTCCAACTAGCTAGCCCACAGAGGAAGAGGAGCCAGGCAGTCCTCATGGGACCTGATAAGCTAGGGTCAGATAGAAGGGGAGGAGGACTTCCCCTATCAGTGGACTAGGGAAGAGGGATAGGGTAGGAAGAGAAAGAGAGTGGGAGGGTGGGACTGGGAGGAGATGAGGGAGGGGGATACAACTGGGATACAAAGTGAATAAATTGTAAATAACAACAACAATAATCAAAATGTCTGCTTTGGTTAAAAAGGCCTTAGTGTCTACATCTGTGGAAAGGAAGAGTAATTGTACTCCACAGACACGAAAAGAGACTATGCCTTAGAAAACCTAGAAAGTATACTGATTTTGCTGAGCCTTGGTTTCTCCATTTATGGCATAGGAATAATGCCATGTCTTAGGGTTATCATTAAGATTGTATGTACCCTTGGAATACAAGGCTCTCAGCAAGACCTGTCACATAGCTGCTCTAGAAAGGTTTGTTCCCATCATCTGTTATGTTAAAGGCCTGAGAAGATGTGAGTGTCTCTGGGGCTTGTAGGGGCCACCACTCACCTCCTCCTTAATCCAGGCACTGTAGCCCGGGGGCGACACCCCCAGCTGGATGATGCTGGCTGTGGTGAGAACAGCCATGCACAGCGGAGACACAAACTTCCACATGTAGAAATAGAATCGGTATGGTCGGAAGCCCAGCATCTCTGTCAGCTCCTGCATGAACCTGCCAGGTACAGCAGAAGATAGAGCAGCTGGTGCCTGCCTTCACAACTGACCCTTCTTTGATTTCCCCTACAGTCGCTTGCTTCTGACCAATCCCTTCTGGGCTCTGCTAGCTTTGCCTTCAGTGTTCACAGTGTGAGGCTCCCATGCTTTCCAGGAGGCTCTGCTCTGCCTGCTTCGCCCCATGTTCCACCAGAGATAGGACCCATTAGAGAGGCCCAAGGCCAAGCGGATAGGTGCCAGAATGCTCTGAATTCTCAAAGCACGCCTTCTCCCACCCACCTGGCTCAAGCCTCCCCCTGCTGGAAGAGAAGCAGCAATGCACTTACCTAGCATGGGGAGGAAGAAACTTCTCTAAACTGCTAGAATTCCCGAAGGCAGGCTGGCTATAGGTTTGAGTGGCATACAAAACTCATATTTACCTCAGTTACACTAACTGAGTCTGGTCATTCTTTCCATTATAAGTACAAGCAACCTTAGGAGTGCTAACAATACTTGTGACTTTGTCCCAAATAGATGCATCAGACATTTTCTTAGCATGTGCCAGTTATTTGAAGATACCTAGAAATATTTACACACATCACTGCTTTACAATTCGTTTTCTATGTAATTGTGCATAATTTATATAATGCGTTTGAAATTAATGCTATAAAAAACAAGGGCTTCCACAAACTGCACAGAAGTCCAAGGCCCCCAGACTCAGAGTCCTTCCAGCAGAACCTTCCAGCCCTCCCTCCCCCCTCTCTGAGACTGGGGCTTACTGTGTAGCCCATGCTGGCCTTGAACTCATGGAAATCCTGCCTCAGTTGCACATGTGATGGAAGGATAAGGCATGTGTCATCATTTCTGTCGTGGGTGCTCCTTTTCTTATGCTTTCTGCACCTCCTCCTATGCCCTCCCAGAAAGCAAATGACCCCTGTGAGAGATATTGGATTTCAAACCCCTATGGACATCAAGCGAGGTCAGGCTGAGGAGTTAATGGAAGGCCTGGATCTCTCTGAGGACAAAGACAGTGGACACACTAAATAATAAGGGTGTAGGGAGATGTCAGTCTTGGAAGTCCCTGGGAACACAGATTTGACCATAAACAAGAGTTGATAGTAAGTGGACATCTGCCTCGGGGTCAGGACATGAAACGAGGTCTTACCTTATTACCTCTTTCCCCGAAAGACCTAAACTGAGGCCAAAACCCACACACTAAAATTATCAATCAGACTGCTGAAGTCCACCAACGCTTTGAGAACATGGAGCCCTCAAATCCCAACCACCTGCTAATACTAAACAGGCTTAGTGGACATCTAAGGACTGGTATTCAGCAAAGGAGCTGTGGCAGTCAGTCATTGAGGTTGGCATAGGGATTTGAACCCAGGATTCCCAAGGTCCTTAGCATGGCTCTGTCTCTTACAAGCTGAGTGGCCTCTAGTATTCATGCCTTCTTTATAGATCCATTTCCCGTTGCTAAGGGGTCCTTTAGCTCTGATAGTCTATAATCTCTTGCCCCTTTCACAAGCAGCCATGAGTACACAAGACTCCCCAGAAAATCCTTCTGGGAAAGAACCCCCCTCTTGTCCCCACCGTTCCTCTTTGACCTCCTTACTTCTTGGTTCCATAAATCCAGGCCACAGCGATGTTCTCGAGGATGACAATGACGGTGAGTGGCAGGGTGGCCGAGTAGTCATCAAACATGGTGACAAAGTAGTTTCCGGAGCGCTGGACGAACAACAGCCCCACGAAGAATGCAAAGACACAGCAGCCCACTACAGAGAGCCGGGAGGCCGGTGTGGGGGCAAAGGTGCAGGGTGGGTGGACTTTGGGGGAACACAGCTCCCTTCCATCACACTGCAGCAGGCCTGCAGCCTGCCCCTCTTCACGAGCCAGGGGCACAGCCTTGCAAGTGAGGTTCTGAGCTCCCCTGCGTCAGGCAGGAGACTCAAGGAAGGCACAAACTGCATTCTCCTGCCATGCTCCCAGCTCCTGGCACAGCATCATGCTCAAGGCAACTGCTCTGCTTAGTTATTGAATTGAATTGAGATGGTTCTACTGATTGGTCCTACAGTCCTTTCCCGGGAAGACTTAGTTTTCCCATTTGGGAGTAGGAAGATACTCTACTCCACCCCCTACTCCCCAGAGATGCAGGTAAGAGGAAGATGGGTTTCCTGTCAGTGTTGGTAGCTGAATGGTACCCCCAGGTCCGACTGTTGATAGTCAGGGAGAGGAGCGCTCTGCAATGACCCAATAAAGTCAGAACCTAGTTCTCAGGCACATGCTGGTGACTGGCAGGGCAACAGGGAGTTACCTGTGAACATCTCCTTGGGCACCTTGAAGGTGTCGATGATGGGTGTGGTGATTCCTGCCATGGTCCCGATCATGCTGCCCAGGCCCAGGTTGATGAGCATCAGGAAGAACATGACAGACCAGAAGGGGGAGGCCGGGAAATGTGTCATGGCCTCAGTGAAGGCGATGAAGGCCAGGCCTGTGCCCTGCACAGACTGGGGGGGGGGGGGGGGGTAGAGAGTGGAGGCCACTCTTACTCCAGAAGTCCCCTGCCTCCTTCTCTCTGTCCTTAGGGCATAGGAATCACCATTCTCTCTCTCTCTCTCTCTCTCTCTCTCTCTCTCTCTCTCTCTCTCTCTCAAGATTTATTTATTTATTTATTACATATACAGTGTTCTGCCTGCATGTAAGCCTGCACTCCAGAAAGTTGCACCAGATCTCGTTAATAGATGGTTGTGAGCCATCATGTGGTTGCCAGGAATTGAACTCAGAACCTCTGGAAGAGCAGCCAGTGCTCTTAACCTCTGAGTCATCTCTCCAGCCCACCATTCCCTTCTTTATAGGAATCTCCATAGCCACTTGAACTCTTTCAGTGTGAGACAGCGGGTCTCAAACTCTAGTGAGTGCCAGAATTGCTGGAGAAAGTTAGCTGTTGTGACTTACACCTGTAATTCCAGCTCTCAGGGGTTAGTGCCATGAGTTCAAGGCCAGCCTGGGCTTCACATTGAGTTTCAGGCTAACCTGGACTCCAGACTAAGACTTTCTCAAAAACAACCAAAGCAAACCAAAATGTTAAAAAACCAAAGTCCCTGAACATTTCCCTGGGGGACCTAGGATCTCCAGGTTGTTCATAGACCCCAGTGAGCCATGTGAAAACATCTAGAATTTTACCCTGTGTAGGACCTTCCTCCTCTGAGATATAATTGTTGCAACCACTATGAGCCCCCTAAGTTCTGAACTGTTGAACACAATACACTCAAGTTTAGCTGTCCCATGAAAGGAACTGGGGACTTTAGGACTTTAATGAGCAGAGATCCTGCCTCCTCATTAATGCTCAGGTTGATGTGGGGATAACTTCCTGTGTTTGCATCTGCACGTCTGGGCGCGTTCAAAGTGACTGTTCTGCTAGAAGTGGTCACAGGAAACAAACCCACAGAGCCCGGGACTCTGTCATGTCAGGGTCTCTCGCAGAGACAATGATTTCATTCATCTAGGGTTAAGCTGGTGTGAGATTTTACAAAGCTAGCAGGGGTTCTCATGGAAGGCCCCTGTAGGGAGCCATTGCTTTAATACAGGGGTCCTTCTCACGGACACCTGCACACACAGTGCCAGCTCACACCACTCTCCTGTGATCTTGAGGGAACACATAGCCCCACCTGAATTTTTAGTTGTCAATTCAGATACTCTTAAGGTTGCCTTGTGTGAAAAAAACCTGCTATAATTCTAGTTCAGTCAGAGGATCAGCCCATGCCCATGAGAGTAGGTGAAGTTCCATGGAAGGAGAAGACACATTGGGCTCCTTTACTATCGATCATGGGAGAAAGGTCAGAGGTGTGGGCCAGTGAAGCTCCTGTAGGCCAGTGAAGCTGTCTTTGTGCTTTTCTTCTGTTATCCTCCCCCCACCCGTTTTTTAAGTGTACAGGATCAAACTCAGGGCTACCTGGCTGCTACACAAACATTCTACCAACAAAACTACATCTCCGAACAACAGAGCTGCCTTTGACGTGGTGCTCAGACACCTTTATGGGAATCTTCTGGTCTCGTGAAGAAGCGCAGGGGCTCAGGGGTTTGCTGTCCATAACATGAGCCTGGACTCCAGCAAGAGTCCTGGGCTCGGTGGGTTTGTTTCTTGTGACCACTCCTAGCACGGTCTAGAGTGGTCATTTTGAAGGTGCCCAGAAGTGCAAATGCAAGCACAAGGAAGTTATCTCCACATCAGCCTGAGCATCAACGAGGAGGCAGGGTCTCTGCTCTAGCTCAGGAGTGTTATGTGGCAGTGGAGGTGGGGCACCTGGGGAGGGCAGAAGTCTCAATGAGGCAGAACAAGGACTCTGCAGCAAGAGTACTGGACTGCTTTTGCTTGCTTGCTCACTAATTAGCTGTGAGATGCTGATCAAGTGCCCTCTCCTCCCAGTCTACAGGCTGCTTATTGCTAAACCTGGGAACAATATTCATAATTGACTCATAGCGTTGACATGGAGGGGGGTCAAAGGAAATGGAAACTAAAGGGCATCGGCATTTACCGGTTTTACAGGTGCTGTTCTAAGTGCATTGTCTACACAGGGTTCTCTGCACAGGAAGCCCGTTCGATAATCAGGGAAGCTGGACTGGAGAGATGGCTCTTCAGTTAAGAGCACTGGTTGCTCTTCCAGAGGACCCAGGTTCAAATCCAGCACCCACATGGCAGCTCACAATTGTCTGTAACTCCAGTTCCACACATAGACATACATGCAAGCAGAATACCAATGCACATAAAAAAGTCTAAAGAAATAAGTAAATAAATAAACAAGGAAGCTGCCTCAAAGTTACAGAGGCTCCTGTGATTTCAGTGTTTCCCTTGGCCCTTCATCTAATCATAGGCTGCCTCTGATGCTTTGTTTGATACTTTCTGTCTTTCTCCATCTATGTACATAGTGTGTCTTTGCTTAGTAAGTGAATGACTCTCCATGGGTTTTCAAGGCCTGTTCCCAAGCTCCAGCCACTAAGCCTATCTTTGGATTGTTGTCTCTTCTGGGAAAAGCAGCCTGTTCCAGTACCTTGTCCAGCTCATCCTCCAGGAGGCAGGGATCCAGGCCCAGGGCTGAGAACTGGCTCTCCTTAACTGTCATGATGACATTGTACATCTCTGAGTAGTCCTTGGTGGTCAGGTGTGAGAAGTTGACATGGGGTGGAATGAGGTCCCGGCTCAAGACATTGGAGTTGAGGTACCCTAGAATTTTCTCAGCATTCCTATAGTGCAAAGAGAACACAGGCCACGTAAGAAGGTAGGAGTAGGACCCTAGAGGCCCCTCCCAGAATCCTAGGAAGGGTACCCATAGGCCACTGACAGAAACATCCATAAGCTTGTCCTTGTGGGCCAGGCTGAGGAAGATGATAATCTCATCCCTTATGGCATAGAAGGGACCTCTCACCCTTACCGGCCCACTTGCTACCCCTGGGTGAGGCAGGCAGGAAAAGGAGGGACCAGACGGGCCATGCCACCTACTCGACCACACACTTCTCATTCATGATGTTGGCTTTGAAGCCCAGCACAGCAAACACCACGAGGGTAGCCAACACCGAGGTGAAGAAGTTGATGAAGGACACCAGGGCAGCATCGAAGTGGCAGTTATTGTCCTGTTTGTTGTAGCTGGAAAAGGCGATGACACCTCCAAAGCCCAATCCCAGGGCAAAGAAGACCTGTGTGGCTGCCTCCCGCCACACCTGGGGGTCCAGCATCTTGTCCAGCTACGGGCATGACCATGGGAGCAAAGAAAGAGACAAAGAGGTGATGGTTTTAATGGTGTGTCCACCATTCCTGCCCTTTCCTGAGCCTCAACAGAGTCACTGCAACATAAGCAGCTGTGGCTGAGGGAGCCTGGGAAATTCACCTAACTCCTCTGAGCCTCATCTTCCTCAGGTGCAAAAGACAGCCTCAAAGGGTGTTGCAGAGGCTAGCAAGGAAAAAAATAATAATAAATGCTGAGTGCTTACACAGCAGGCTGAACTGCAAGAGCACTTGATAGTGTGGAGCTATTTCCAAAGGCCTTTTCAAATCGAATGTTCTTCCATTCTTCATTCCTCAAGGTAGAAGCCAAGGAAAATGAAAAAGGTTCCAGCATCCTTGGAGTTTATGGTCTAGTTGCAGAGATGGACACTGGCAGACTGATCCCTGTTTCTAATGGACTCTTTAGAAATAGAAGAGGGAGAAGGGCAGGACAGGCGCAGCAGGGCTATACATTCAGTTTCTGCCTGTCATTTGCGGGGTTCTTGACTTGAGAGTCCTGCGCCGCTGTTGGCCACCACATGGCATAGACAAGGTCTGTTTTCTGCTGTTGTTGGGTCTCACTGTTCACTTCAGGCTTGCTGAGAACTCATTCCCTTCCTGTAGTATGTATATATACTGCAGTGTGTATGTATACACACACACACACACACACACACACACACACACACACACACACACACACATGATCTCCTGCATGCTAGGATCCTGCTCTACTTCTGAGCTCCATCCCTGACACTGAGATCTGGCTTTGGATGTAGGACAAAATTTGTTGGTTGGTTGGTTTGTTACAGAAGAAACCTAGGCCCAGGGCTCCAATGTAAAACCTCGGGGCCTAAGTGGGTTTAGACCTGGGGCTTTTGCTTCTCGTTTTATTTTAAGACAGTACTACGGTGCTGTGAGACACAACTGCACCAACATCCCCAGCAAGGTTCGGGGACTCACTTCAACACGTCAGGGTTTCAACAACACAATATGAATCTTCTCACCAAGTGAATCAATAAAAACTATAAATAGCCTAGCGTCTGTGCAGGTTGTTTTTCCTCCAAATGAGTTCCACAAGACCAAAAGCAAAGCATCACAACTTTTTTTTTAAGGCATTGGGAAATAAGGGTCACTTCTGGGCCTAATAGAAAACTAGAGAGTAGAGAAAACAGCCATTCACTTCTGAGAAAGGACTCTTCTAAACCCCACCCCAACCCCCCATCCTCACATCTACTCAGAAGACACATTTTCAATGACTCTCTGAAAGGCTCCAGAAATGGGTTGAGGAATTAAGTCTACTTGAAGGTGTGCTGGCCTTCACTGGTGTTTCCTGGTGTCCACTGTGATACCTTCAATTATCTTTGAGACCCAAACATGGGACTTCCCTTACGATTCTCATCATTCCCTAAAGCTAAAGCAAGAATATATCTAGCCCCATCACTCTTTAGGGCCAAATTTCCTAAATGGAAGCAGCTATTCCAGGGGAGACAGCCCAATAGCTTGAGAGACATCTCAGAGGACAGGGGAGGGTGGAGGTGTAGGTAACCATTTCGGTTAGAAACAGTTGTTTCTTTGTTAAGATCATAGCTATCTTGATTCTTTTTAAATATGGCCTGTTTGCTATGAAATGAACCAAAGTAGAGAAGGGTAGTGCAGCAACTCCCAACTACAGCCAATACCAAGTTTCAGAAACCATTAATCTCCTTTTTCTAAATCCTCGCCCTCCCTCCCACCCTAACCCCTATCCCCCTGCCCTAGATGATTTTGTATTTGTCAGAGAAAAAAAATTGTTTGTTTGTTTGTTTGTTTTTCGAGACAGGGTTTCTCTGTATAACAGTCCTGGCTGTCCTGGATTTGCTTTGTAGACCAGGCTGGCCTCTGCCTCCCTCAGAGATGAGATTAAAGGCATGCGCCACCACACCCAGCTTCTAGATGATTTTGAAGCAGACAGGTAGCTACAAACTGAGCTTTGAAGCCCGGTAAAATCACCTAACGCTAAAGCTTACCCTTGTGATTGCCGTGTGTAAGTGTTCTTCCATACTGGTGCTTCTGGTCCATAGCTTAAATGGGGCGTTTTTACTGTTGGGAGATGAACAGACATCCAAAGCTAATCTGGAGGTGAACTGAGTCAGGAGGCTTCAGTATGGAATGCCTGGTGCTACTTGATTTTAAAGGAGACTTGTGTCAGGTTTCATGGGATAATGTAATTTCAGGAAGTGTCAAGAGAAGTCAGTCACTGTCTAGACAGGATGCCCCATGTCCCTTCCAAACAGTGGGATTCGATTATGAGAGGTGGGAAGGGATTTTCTACTCCGGAGAGACCATTTCTTCCCGGATGCTCAGTGTGATAATAGCATTGGCTCCCTGCTATTTCTTTGGCATAGTGACTAAGTCACTTCCTGCCAAGGGAACAAGGTGTTTTACAGCAGAGAAGATGCTTTCCGAATGCACAAGCAGCTGCTGAGCACCAGCCCGAGTGGCGAATGACAGCAGCACACATGTGACAGCAGCGCACACGTGACACCATCACACACTCCTGCTTCTCAGTACTTCTCCAGCACCTGCCACGGCAGAACCAGACTGAGCCACAAGGCACCAGATGGCACTGGAGGGCAGCGTTCCCACAGCCTGAGAGCAGGGTCACCTTCCCAAGGGACAAGCAGGGTAATAGCTTGTGCCTGCCACATGTTCCCCACCTGGGTGGAGCAGTCCCATGAGCCCTGCTGACAGCTCTGTGCAGCGGTATCACTGTGCACCCTGTCCTGCAGCTGTGAAACCAGGCCTCCAGACAAGGAATCTCCCCAGTGGAAGCTGGGTGATGAGCTGGTCACAGATCACAAGTCTGGGCATCTCCTTCATCAGAGGTCTTTGCTCAAAGGGGAGTCAACAAGTCCTACCACCTAACTCTTTTTCTTGGGTTCTTGGAACTTTCAGAGACCTCTACGCTCTTCTCTAGGAGTCAACGTGCACTCTTGGTCCTTTGGGCTCCTTATCTTTACCCCTCAACCCCAGAAGTTCCTTCCCCAGACATAGGTAGCCACAATACTGGCTTCCTGAGTACTCTTCCAGGGGGGTTCATATGGACACCAGCATATGAGATACACATCTCATGTTAAAACATATACAGACACATGTACATATGGACACATGTACAGACACATATCTCTCCCACACTCCATGGAACTCTTCCTACCACATCACCTTGCTCTTAGTCACCCACCATACTTCCTCAGTGGTGCTTCCTGGGATCCCACAGAGTCCCAGAGTGCCCAGCAAGCTGCCCTGCTCTGTCTCCTCACAGCCTCACTCCACACTTAATCCACCTCTTTAGGAAATAGCAATAAGATAATGCCCTGAGGGGCATTAGGAGGTTTAAGCAGGTCGCTATATGTGCGGAGTATAACACAACTGCTTAAGCACCTTACTGACACAGGACGCAATGTGCTCTCAGGATGTTCGTGTGCAAAACAAGCTGCATCATCAGATTGCTTAGAGCTAGCGGCGGCCAATGCTACTGAGGCCCTGCCCAATTCTGAGCCCTATTTACCACATGGCTTTCAGGGCCAAGCCTGTCCACTGTTCCCAAAAGGACAGTGACTTTGCACTCATACCTCCTTAGCCCTCCAGCGCCCCTCCTTCATTCTTACTCTTAGCTGAGAAAGATGACATGATCAGAAGAAGATTCTCACCATTGGAACCCCCCCCCCAATCTCCACAGCTTCTCCCTGCCAGCATGATGCCAGAGGCTGCTCACTCTCTTGTTGGTGGGGAGGCTCTGATTGCAGCTAACAGCAGTTCTTCCCCCAAGGACACTGGGCCTCTCTCTGATGCCATCTGGATCTTTTTAATGTGCACAGCTCAATGGTTTTTAGCACACCAAAGTCATGCAATCAGTACCACTATTAATTCAGAGCCTCTGCCTTCCCCTTAAGAGAAGCATGTTCCTCATCTCTCCCCTCAAGTCCACCCCTGAATGACTACTAGTGGACTATCTCTATGCACTTACCTACTCTGGAATCTATATGCTTGAGACTGCGCACTATGTGGCCTCTTGTGTTTGGCCTTTTCCACTTTACTTAGTGCCTTCCAGGCTATTCCACGTTGTAGCATGTATTATTACTGTATTCTTGTGTGTGTGTGTTGTATACATATTTAAATGGGGAGGGTGGTATATTTCTCTGTGTACATGAGTGGAGGTCAGAGGTTAACCTTGAATCTCTTCCTTGGTTGCTCCTTACCATTTCATCTATTTATTTATCTATCTATCTATCTATCTATTTATTTATCTGTTTGTTTGTGTATGTGTTTGTTTATTTGTTTATTTTCTAACTGGGTTACTAACTCATTGAACACTGGTGGCCCAGAATAGAACCTAAATTGGCTGGGCACCAAGTGCCAAGGATCTTCCCATGTCCCCATCCACAGAGCTGGGATTTCAGGTACATGCCACCATGCCTGGCTCTCTTATGTAGGTTTTAGTGATCAAACTCAGGTACTCATGCTTGCATGCATGCACTGTGCCATTATTACAGCTTTGGTACTTCATTCCTCTCTATGACTAGATAAATTTCCATTTTATGTACACACCCTGTTTTGTTTGCCCATTCCTCAACTGAATGGCATTTTGGTTGTGTCTACATCAGGACTACTATAAACCATGCTGCTATGAACACTCATTTTCAAACTTTGTGTGAACATAAATTTTAAGTTTTCTTAGATACTGGTCTAAGAGTAAAATTGTTGCATCATTTGGAGATGCCATGCTACTTTTCAAAGCTCTTGCACTGTTTTCAGTTCAATGAATTGCACTGTCAGTACTCAATGAATTATTTTCATCATTATAAAATTTCTGCAGTAATATCCTTGACCCCCAGGGCCCTCTCCACTTAATATTACATTTCTCTCAGTTTGTTTGTTTGTTTCCTTTTATAGTGAAACTAGTGAATGTAAATGCTTTCACCTATTTTTCTCTAACTCA